GGGGGGGGGGGGTATCAAGCACACCTTTCGTCGGCAGGCTGAAAGCAGGGGTGTTTTAAGACCCTGTTCACTTCTGTAAGCCAAAATGCACACTTGAATCATTCGTTCAAATATTACGTCGCGCGCCGAGGCCCAGACTAGTCGACTGATGCCCAATTCCAAATACGTATTTTTGTCTTTCTCCCACACCCCTCCTCCCTTTTTTTCTGAATGCTTTCCCCTACCCCCTTATTTTAGATTTGTTTCCTTAGCGCGAAAAGTGTCTGCAAATCGAAAATCTGATAAATTTTGGTTTAATTCCAACAGATATTTAATTATATGTGAGCTGTTGTTCTAATGTAACAAGCCTTGTTTGAGACAGTAAAATTGTCAAGTTATTTGTCTGCTTGAGTGGGTATTGACAAGAATTACTTCGGGGATGGAGCCTGATTGTTATCACTGAACCGTGCAGATAGCAATCAGCGGAACTGCTGCTTCTAAATTACGTTGCTGATTAAGGTGTGAGTTATCTAAAAGTGCTTCATAATTAGGATATGGTGAATGGCTTCTACCTTACTAACCGCAAAGTAATGATTGGTAATAACCACATTTCCTTTGTTAAGTAATCGACTTATCAGAGCTCCCCACCTTTTCCCCGTGGTATAAATAAAATGAAGGAAACAGATTTGGGTGAATTTTATGCCGAGGGTAGATTTCATACAGACGAAGACTTGGTGCTGTTGGATGGGTCTCATTACTCCAATATATTCTTTAAATTCCGACATCAGCAAATACACAGCCATCACGCAATATTAGCAACCGCTGCATTTAGAAAAGAAAAATTAGAAAAATCGTGACGTTGTTGAACCGTCATCGTATATATATATCCGTTCTGAGCGAATTCGTGAAATCAATGAAGCCTTGTCCCGCGGTAACTGTGAACCGTATACCTGGATGTCAGCACACTTATGGTAAAGGTGGTATAAATGACCGGCGGTGAATACCTAGGGGGCACAACGGCAGTGAGGAGATAACGGGATTAACTTGAGGACACTGAGCTTGGAGTGTGTTAGTTTATCGGACCACAAACATTGGACGTTATTTGTTTTATATTGGTCACCGTACATAGAGACGCCTCGTTACCTTCAAGATGTTGCACGGGCGATGCAACAGTTACACAGTAATGTTCCTCGGAACTATTCTGCTTCTAATTACATCTGGGGTGTCTAGCGTTTTGCCAGAAACACAGCAAGCATACAGGGACGCTGTCATCAAGGCACAGTGCAAGGCAAACTGCTTGCAGCAGGTAAGTTGTCAATTGATTGAAAAATTAAGTGACTAGGTCTGTTCATTGCATAGTTTATTATTCGAAAAATGGCTTTTTGAGCTGTAGTATTCAACGAGTATATAGTTGATGACATATTGTGCTTCACCATAAGAAAGAGACTTGGAAAGCTTTCTATTTTAAGCTAGTACATTCACAGCAAAGTATCTTTCAGGCAAAAAAGTGACTTGAAGTGACTTAAGACGTAGCAATATTGCATAGTCTGTAACTTACCAAAAGCGATTTCTCTTTTTCAAAACAAAACAATTGAATCTCAAACTAATTTCGTTGGATATTGTGTTAAATCGAAGTTCAAGGAAGTAAAAATTACTGGCCCAGACACGAACTAGTAAACTAGTGCAGGCATAATACTTAAAACAATAGCAAAGTCATCTGAATGAATTCCAACTTTGAATTACTGCTAAATGCACGGCGAGAGAACGCTGAATCACAGTTATTCAACCAGATTTTGACACCTCATTGGATTCGGTAATGTTCTAAAACAAAAACGTAACCCAGGGAAAGATTTGTTTGAAGCCGAACTCTCTTGAACGTTTCTTGTTTCCATGTTTTACTTAATCATATCGTTCCGAAGTTTGATTTAGGTTACTGTTGGAATAATGATGAGTTTTCAGGAATAATAGATGACATATATTTGTTGAGTTTTTGGTCTTATATCAATAGATCTTCGACCGTGGGTGTCTTGTAAAAATGAAGTCTTATCTCATCACAGCTTGTCTGGTTTGATGGTTATAATTAGATGAGTGCCTTTGTCAGTGCACCGTTTCTGATAAGACGTTTTGGTTTATATATTTTAACTTTAAATAAAAACCTTTCTGATAGCTGGATAGCTGTTGTGATGAAATATTTTATCCCTCGTTTTTGGGTAATTTATTGAAAAAGTAAAGAGATTAAAATGTGCAATTGATAACCATCAAGAAATAAGTCGTCCTTTTTATTAACTTTGTGGTCATGGAATCTATTCAACGTAGTTCCTAGAAAAATGCGTCTATTGATGAGGGCAGAACTTTACAATAATGACATTAACCAACGCAAGCAGAATATTGCGTGACATCAGAAAGACCACGACTATGAACGATTGTTATTGCCTGTGTAAGGGTACGACACATTTCTCATCGGTCTCGCCAGTTGGATACTGTTGATAGCGATTACACGTGTTGAACGTTTTCAAGAGGCAAAATTAGAGATAATATATAGGGCCAACGTCTGTGTACTTTTGAAAGTAAAAGGGAAGTGTTAACAATTCGTATATGTCTTGGTCATGCCATTCTGTTGACTTTCATGTTCGGCAGAGGTTAATTTAAACATCCGTAACGTAATGCATTGTTTTTTGTGGTAAGCCTTCCTGCTCTTAGCTTATTGATGACCATAATGGTGACCTTTAAAATGAAAACAAATTATTTTTAATTATCTTTCGAATATTGCTAATTAGTGAACCGCATCGTTCTCATCAAGTTTGAAATTGGCCTTTACAACATCGACTTCTAGCCTGAATGTTCTGTCTCTTGCACTCTTATTTCTGATTTTTAACGAGCGTGCATGGTAGATAGTGAATATATTAAAAAGTAAATAGGAATGCTAAAGGCTGCACAACCCAGATACGTTAAGGCGAAATGCTTCCGGAAGCGGCGGGGAAGTTGTTCTCAAAAAAAAAAAATAAATAAATAAATAAATAAAAAATAAATAAATAAATAAATAAATTTAAAAAAAAATAATAATAAACCACTTTAAAAGGGGTAGTGATTGAAATTTAACCCATTTATGTTTACTTCATTTCAATTCACTTTTTGGTAATAGTTCTACAAATTAAAGCACCAGGAGTTAGTTGAATGAGTAATTTGGATGAGTTTGTTTTGAAAACAATGCTTTTGCTACTAGAATTGGATTTACGCATCATGCAATATTGGCATTTTTAATGCTTCCATTTTTTACTTTCAGTATGGAGGGAGAATTGCAGATAACGAAGATAATTTTTACGACATGTATAGGCAGTATAAATGCTTAGTAGCCAAAGAGAATGAATGTAAACAGGTAAATATGATCTATCTTGGTTGAAACTTTTCTATTCCCAGGTACTCTGTGATAACTGTCATGCAAATGGTTTTTCTGAGAATTAGACCAGCCCAGTACTATCGTTTTACGTTTTCAAATTCACTGTTGTGCAGAAAAATGAAGTTCAGTCACCATTCCCCCCTGCCTATATACAGGTACCAATGCTCTTATAAACTATCCAGTCTTGGATTGGCTTATTTTGTGACCATTCCATTATTTCTGTCTTGGACATACAGCTGGATGGGGGATGGATGGGGTGTCAAAATCTATTAATTCTCATTATTATTTACGTTTTTTCTTACAGTGTCTGAACCCTTGCAGTTATGAGTTCTTTGGACCAGAGCGTTGTAGACAAGAATGTGTAAGTATTATTGTGTAATAATCAGTCAGGTGACTATATACTTGATCTAAATAAGGAATTTTGAATTTTCTCAAATTAAATTTGGCCATGATATCACTACTATGAATAGCTTTTTTTCTTCTGTCACACTGTCCATTTGTTGAAGCTGCATAAATGCCATACCATAAACCACTATTATTGAGGACTATTTGACATATGAAGACTGAGAGTCACATGACAACGTGCTGCTCATAACATCTTGCTACTGAAAACCTTACGCATCATTGTTGATTTCACTCATGGTAGTGTATGTATGTCACGTAAAGGTGATTTGTAGCTTAAGGTTGTGTTGAGAATTTCTTACAAGAATGTTTATTATTTGTTCTGTTATCAGCCAGGAAGGAAAGACTGCTCATAAGATGCATTGATATTTTTTTCTCATATTTCACCACATTGCCACGGCCCATGCGTTGTTTTTTGGTGTCAGATAAGTTTAGACTGTTACAAGTTAATGCAAATGTGACAGCTGATGTTCCCATGCCAGTGTTCCAGGTTGTCTTTGTTTCTTGGCTATTACCGCTTATTTCTAATGCACTTATTGCATTATCTCTGGCTTAGTAATTTTGCGGTAATATTTGGGTTGTGAATTAGCTCTCAGATTTTGCAGTGCCCATTTTCATTACAATTATCCAATAGAGTCAGTAAGGGCAAAGCCAGCTATAAAAGTCTATTATAATAATTTCGTCTTGACGCTCTATTAGTATGAGTGTTTCCTTCATCACTGTCAACAAGCTTCCTGTCTTTCTGACATTTTAATGAAAACCATTGTGCAATCATATCCTAACTGCAGCTTGCTTTTCCTGGCACTTACCACAAAGTTTTTACCTGAAGAATTGTCAGTGTGTGTGTATATATTTTTTATAGAACATACCTAAGGCCTTGTTTTGCTCTAGACAAACAACCTTATTCTTGAAGAATGTAAGGAATAGAATATAGTATTATATATTTGCTAACCTCAAAGTTTTCTTGAATATCTAAAATTGAAAATTAAGCAAATTATTCCACAGTGGAATATAATGCACATTGTCATTTTTCACTCAGCTCTGTGCAGAAATAATCTACATTATTTTATACATGATCAATTAATTATTCTATATAAGAAAGTTCAGTGATGTTCATATAATACATTTTTTCCTGTGATCATTTCAGAACAATGCAGTGTGCAAGTCGAGCTGTGACTTCATTTATTCTTTGAAGGAGATGGAAGTGAGGACAAAAGGTAAATACCACAAGAATGTAAAGGGGATTCGTGTGCAGGTTTTAAATGCTTTTGTAATTTTATCCTCCTTTGATGCAGTGCACACTATAGTTATCAAATATACATGTGTATTCATTTGACATATTTTGTTAATTTTCCCACACTATTCTGTATGATACATTCATCTTGATATTTATTAATGATGTCTAAATATGTTGCATGCATCATGGTAATTATTCAGTAGTTGTATGGAATTTGTCTCTTCTATATTTGTTCTCATAAATTCATTTTCAAAGTGTTCTCATCCATAATCCAAAGTGAAAAATAAAAGATATGCTGAATAATAATGCTATGAGAGGGTGTCACCAGAATGGCACCATGTGAAAGCATTTTAGAATTAACATCAAAGAAACTGATTTTGCCACAGGACAATCATCGTTGGCAGGGTGACAATTGATCATAAATTCATTTCATTGGTAAATACATTCCATATCATGAAGGGCAGCTACATGGATTTTCACGGTTTTCTTCTTTGCCAATTTCAGCCAGTCAGACTGCTAACACCAGCTCCAGTTTGCACACCCCAGCATGGGTGTGCAGAGAGACATATGTGTCATCTGGCCAACTTGAGTCCAAGATCCGGTTGCGTCTGCAAGTTCTTCAGAAAAATGGACAGAGTGCAGCAGAAGCATTGGTTTTTGTAATAGAGATGAAAACCAGAGGTCATGGATGGGTGACCATGACTGGGCAGGTGAGTTGAACTAGCTTTTAAGAGTTTTGATATCATAATGTATTGGATATCTTCCAACACCAAAAGTCAGAAGATTATCATGCCAATCACTGTGTTGTGATCACAAGTGGTGAAAATGCCCAAAATCACAACAGAAAGCAAAAATTTATATTATCTGTCCACATAAAGGATAGGTTTCTGTTTTAATTACACCCAGAGGCATTGACAGGGGACTATTTAATTCCACATTAGATGTCATTTTTGCAGCTAATTTTAGCTTTGGATATTACTCTCTTTAGAGTTCTGCAGTCTGAAGAAAATACAGTTTCTAAGGGCACATTCCCATAGATTTTAGATCGATCTATCCTCGTGGGGAGTCTCACTAGATTACTGTCAGATAATCCAGCTTAAATGTCCATCTCGCCTACTACAAGTGGTAATTAACTTCCGTGTGCGGTCGGCTGACTGCAATTTAGCGTGAACCCCCAGGGAGTTAGGTCGATCTAGTAAGATCAATCTAAATCTCTGGGAATGCCCTCTAAGCCTGCTTGCCATAAGGGAACATGGGGGCATTGTCATAATGATACTTTGACATGTATAAAGACATTAATGTGGCAATTTTATAAAGAACAATGAACTATTAGAGGGGATTATGACCATGATATTTACTAGCACTCCCTACAGCATTGAAAGTACATGTATGGATTACTACCTTTAAAAACCTTCATTTTAAATTGGTACATATTTACAACTGATGGCAAGCAGTACTGGTAATCTTTTTATGATAATAAAATTGTGATATTGTCAGTGCTAAATTGGGAATCTTAAAAAAATAAAATAAATAAATAAATAAAGAAGAAGCTCTTTTGGATCTCTGATTAGACCTTTTGTGTATTAGTTTTGGCCTGGCCACCAATGAACAAAAGGCCAGGCCTGTACGTGATTTCAAAGGGGGTTCCTTTTTCTGAAAAAAGTAGGCCTTTTACCATACCATGAAACCTCAATGTACCAGAGATCAAACCTTGTCCAGAGCAGACCTTTTTCCTGGCAAAAAGGAGGTTCATTTGAACCCTCTGACCCCCCCTCCACTATGGGCCTGAAATGTGTACTTCACACTTGTGATAATAATATGTGCACATCTAAAGAATGATATGAAAAATGAGAAATGGATGTTTGTGAAGTCTTTTAACTATCTATACCTTCAGAACAAGATTGCTTGCTGCACTGGTGACTGACAAAAACCATCAAACCAAAAATGACATTTTTACATGCAGAACAGTGTAATTACATCATTCTGGATATAATACAATATGTCTTTTAGAGATATTAATTATGTGATTAAATAACTGCGTTTGACATATTTGGTGAACTATTGAACACATACATGGTAAATCTAAACCTCTAGACTGATTTATTAACAGGGACACAAGCTAGCATAACATGGAAACCTTCTCAATGAATGAAATAAAATATTTTTCATCAATATTGTTTTCAGTCTGCAAGTGCATTCTTTCCAATTGTTCGACTGTATCCAGATACAGATTACAAGTTTAGGATTTCTGCTGTTTCATCTGAAGGTCTCATTGGAGAAAGCAAGGAGACAGAGTGGGTGCACACATTGCCTAGTAAGTATGTTTGACTAAAAGAACGATGGTTGTAAATATGGTAACTATATTTAGTGGAATAAAGTATACTTTGGTTATTAAGTCTTGAATCATGGTATTATGCACACCCATAGATTGATATCGTAAGATAATTAGTTTGTGCCATATGTACTGTAACACACTGTATGTATTGTATAATGGTAATTTGTAAACTGCAGGTATTTGTACATGTGCTTTAACATGTAGACCATAGGCAATGTTTGTTCAGAATCAGTAATATGCAGACCAAAGACAGAGTGTGCCATATGTACATGTCAGTTTAATTTCCCAATGTTCACATTAACTGAAACTGGTACCTCCCTGAATGAATAAATGAACTAAACAAACTGTTACCTTAAATTATATCCACACCTTAAAGCCACATCTGTGCAATTTTGACACTGATAGCTGCTCAATAGTAACAGTAAATTTAACCAACCATTTTTTTAAAAATGTTTTTTATGTTAATTTTAGGATATTTTGCATTCATTTAAAACCCAATAACAAAAATACATGATCTTTACAGGGATTGAAATACCTAAAATTGAATACCTATCAACAAGTCAGACCTTAGACGATGTTTGCATGTGTTACACATAACTTTTCTTTACTTTTAGACATTTCCCCTTTAAAACCAGCCAAGAGAATTTTTGTTTCTAGTCAGTATTTAGAGGATGGGAAAATGTCAGCAGTGGTGGAGTGGGAGCCATCTGAAGGTAAGTGAGGATCAAGTGGCACTAATAATGAATGTTATTTTTCCTGTGTCTGGTTTCAAATTAATTATGAAAGTCAAGACAATGAGGAAATTCATAAAATGCTGGTGGAAAAAAGTCATTGGGAGCATATAATAATATTATGGCATGCACTAAGTGGAAAATGTAGAGAATTGATAAAAATGAAAAATCAGAATTCTCTATACTTAACTATTCTCAACAGTTATTGTTAATTGTATGAAATTTCAGAACGGACATGTTTTTACCAGCTCCACTGGCTTCCAGACTCTTCAATTCTCCCACCTTCCAGCACAAGAAAAGAGGTAATTCACTACAAGTGCCATTACTTGGTTACAGCTACATCTTAAGTCAAACAATTTTATCAAATTGAAACAATTAATGTAAGTAAATTATATTATAAGCATACATTTAGAACATTTAAATTTCATTTGTAGAATGGGGAAAAAGTGAAATTTGAGATAGCACATAGAGGCTAATATTGGTGAGACAGATATTGATATTCAATTATGTTTTGAGGCAATGAAGTTATTAGGCAGGAAAAAAGTTAACAAAATGAGATAGAAATTTGGTTAGAATGATTTTCTTCAAACAATTCACCCCCTCTGCATTATATTTTGTCTATAATGATACACCTGCAAATCAATTCTTACCTAACATTTACTCTGGTAATGAATTCTCAGAGTGTCAAGGTTGGAGCAAGATTAGCAAAGTGCATAAGTTCAGGCAAGCAACTTAATAAAATGTAGGGCTTCAGACACGAGTAAGACAGATATGAGCATCAAAAATCTCCGTTATACGTGCATGATCAAAATAGGGTAGAAGAAAATGTTAACAACACGAGGATTTTGATAAATCCAAACTAAGAAATCATAATGTTGACATAAAATGTTTTAATATATTAAAGAAATAATATTCTATGTAACACATATTGGTCTGCTCCTTTGTTTGTTTGTAATCACTTTTTTGTTTCGTGATAGAGGCCAAATATTTTGACATTTTTTTGTTTGAATATTTTGTGCATTGATAATAGCTCTAGGATGAACCCTGTTGATTTTCATAAGGATTATGTTTGCTTTATACATGTTAAAAATTCTGAAGGTTTGAAAAATGAACATGGCAAAGCCCACTGACAATTTTAAAAATGTGTATTTTTTAAAGTTTTGGATGTAATCTCATCAAATCATAGTCCATATAGGTATCTTTTGATATCACAGGGGTCTCTAGTATAGCCTTTTACAAAAGTGAATTAGAGGGTTTTTAGAAATTTTGTGGTCAGAGAGTAGCCCGGCCATAGGAGCCTGTGCGATTCAATAGACTACAAACATGCAAAAATAGCAACATGTCAGTTTCACATTAATTTGGCGCCATAGGTGAAACATTGTTGCATTATAGTTTGCAAACCCTTGTGCTATTGAACAATTTTACTTTTTTGTTTATTTGTTTTAATTTAATTATTTATGCCTATATGTTCTTATTCTATTTAGTTTCAGTGGCGAGAATTTAAATACAAGATCAAGGGATTGTCATTTGACACACGGTACATCTTAAAACTTTTTACCAAAGATGAAAAGACTACCTCAGAAAGCAAAGAGATTGATGGAGAATTCTCCACGTGGGACTGTCTTACAGCAAATGGGCACAACTATCAACTTTGTGGTAAGCATGAACAATTCTTTTTTTTCATCATTTAACAATGACGTTTAGCCACTACTCATGCTCTTGAAAAATTACTGAAATTATACTTTATAAGGATGGGTGCACAAAATCATAATTGAATTAGAAGCTTCAAACTGATGACAGTAGGTTAAACCTTTTGAAATAGTTTTCTTGAACTTTACAACAACTTGGACTAGAACACGGATTTATAATCCATTTGTTCATTACTGATCATACCTCCCATGCACGAACTGTATTATGTTCAACTCTATTTTAAGGCTTCTTAATCCATCATCTATTGTTTAAATGACCAAGAGCACTTAGTTCATCCTCACGTCTCAGTGTTGGGTTATGTAATGAGAAGTACTTTAAATAGATGACCAAGCAGTTTTTCTGTGATTAGCTCAAGATCAGAATTATGATTGCGTAACTGCCTCTTGGCTATGGAAATTCATTCTACATTAACCAGGTGTGCAAACTGATAAAAACATAACACTTGTTGTTAATAGTTTTATTTCTAAGTACTGTTGCATTTTTGCTTGAATTATTTGCAATATGTCTTTTAAGCTTTCTTGTGTTTGTAAATAAGAATAATCAATTGATGGACACCTGTAATAGGGAAGAGTTTAAAAAACTGACAAGAATGTACTGCAAACAAGAAAACAAAAAGCAGACGGAAATATATGTATGCAGGGTGTATCTGTGTTTCATTGTATCATCAATAATGTTCTCATTGTTAACAGTGAAGTACCAGTGAAAAAAATACCATAAGGAGCACAGATGCTTTACCTTCAGACTTTCAGTCACTGACAAATAGTTCACCATTAATTAATTGGTAAGTTGATTATTTGTATATTTTCACTTCATTATATATTTTTAGGACCAGATGAGCCAGAGTCTCTGAGATATACTCTGTCCACACCAATTGACAACTTGACGAGTGATGTGAATGTCAGCATCACATGGGAGCCCCCAAGATACTGGAGTCTTAGTAATAATGTGGACATGTACAAAATAAGTTGGAGAAGAGAGACACCCTTTCCCACTGTGTGGAACACCAAACCTGAGAAAGGGATGCTTATGGTGCCCTGGGTGAGTGAAGTGGATTATTTTATCAATCTCCAAACTATTGTATTATTTTTAGTATATCATGTTGATTCAGTGTTGATTTGACAATTACTGAATATGTGAAGTCAATTTTGATAAATTAGTTTTGGTCATTGTGAAAATTCATTTAGATATATCATGTCTAAGTCTGGTTTGTGATTTTTTCAGAACGTGACCTCTGCAGTGATCGAGGGTTTGACTCTTGGAAATGTGTATGAAGTTTCTGTTGAAAGCTTGTCTAGGGGTGGCTCTGGAAAACGTAAAACAATCCAAGTTAGCACAGCCAGTAAGTAGAAAATAAGCTCTGATGACATCATCATTATAATATGTGGCATTTTGATGTTTTAAATTAGTTAGAAACCATTCATTTGTCACAATTTGGAAAAAGATATTCTGTGTGCATCAGCAGAAAGGCATTATTTGGATACTTAAAAAACAATTAAGTAACACTTTTTTGGGTAATCCATAATAAATGTTAAATTTTAACTTGTAATGTCGTTGCTTTCTGTTTTTTTCTTGATATTTTCCCTTCTTTTCGAATCCAGCAATTTCTTTCATAAGATCTATAAATGTGTCCAACAGGATATTGGTGCTAGCTGGTAAAGCAGATCTATTAAAATCAATAAATGCATTCTTAAGTTTCATTCGCCTACAGAATGTATTATATCAAGTATTATATTATATTATTTCATTTAATTTTTTTTCTTAGTTTCAAATTCCTTAAAAATCAATCAAGTTGTACCAACAACTGTACAGGACACCAAGCCCCCAGAAGAGAGTGTGCAGGTGATGGAAACTGTGAGTGCTCAGCAAAGTGAGGTGACAGTTGGCAACACAAGCGAAAACAATGAGGCACAGAACTCCGTATTAATCATTGTCACGGTGACAGGGATTGGGTGCCTGGTGCTCCTGACAGGGGTGATCTTCTGCATAAGGAGATATTTTCTGTTGCCTGGCACATGCAAAAAGAGCAATGCTGATAGTGTAAGTAACCAGGGTTTTGTGAGGAAATTTCAATTTAGTTTTTGGTGAAATTTGTTGAAATAGTTTACTTTCATACCTGTTTATTATACAGGGAAAATTCAGCATGCTAGAGTGAACCTCCTACACTGATTAATATGAATAGTTTTTTAATGTATATTCAAGACATTTTTATATTTCAAGAGAAATTATGAAACATCCCTCAAATGTTGAAAGATGTTTTATTTGTTCCTTAAATTTGAAAAACATTCTGAAAATAACCATTATATTATAACTACCTATAAAATTTATCTAAATGACCATTTTAGGTGAACAACATATACACTCGGTATTCTGATATTGAGGAAGGCAGATCTCCAGAGCAGACAGATCTAGTTGGAGGAGTTGGGGCAGTAGATGATTATGAAATCAATCTGAGCTCTCTTGCCCTATTGGATGTGCTTGGGCAAGGAGCATTTGGCAAAGTGGTCCGAGGGCAGTTGAAGGAAGCTTGCGCCAGGGCAAGCAAAAATTCACTGGTGGCTGTGAAAATGCTTAAAGGTAAAAATAAGTCTTTTTTATTATGTAATACATGACAAAAATAAACTTTAAGGCCTCACTTAAGCATGCATGAAAGGTTTTTTTAGTATCCCAGTGATATTAATCTTATTGATAAGATAGGTAATTATTTTTTAAATCTCCTATTGAGCCCAGTATGCTGTTTTAAGTCAAAGCATTGTATGAAAACTTGATTAAGAAGATAAACTTTTTTATGTAAATAACTGATGCAGATTCAATTGTGATATTTCAGCCTATGCTATGGAGGAGGAGAGTGTGAGTTTGCTTGAAGAGATTGACATGATGAAGCATCTTGGCAGCCATCAGAATATTGTCAGTATGGTGGCATGCTGTACCAAAGGACCCAAATTGTGTCTCGTAATGGACTTCTGTCCCCATGGAGACCTGAGGAATTACCTCAGGAAAATCCGTGAAAAGGTTAGCATTTTTTCTCAGTGATAATGAATTTTTAATTCAAGCTGAGTTGTACTAAATTTATGATAATTGCTTTAATATTGTCCAGTTTTTTAATCTAAGAAAATTAAGGAATAAAATTGTCTTTTAAAGTTCTGTTTACAGAAATCTCAATATAAATGTGTATCTTGTATGCAGAGAATTTTTTGCATGGTTGTTCCCTCCTATAAATATCTTTTTAATTTGTAGTAAACACATTTTGGGAGATACTTAATCACTTAAGACGTTAAAAATCTGGATTGAAGTATATTTCACACATTAATCAAAAGAACATCTGCAACTTTTTTTCCATCACTCTGCAGTTTTGCACCATTTAACACTTAAAGAATGCAATGACTTTACATTTATATTAGCACCATTGCTACAGTGTGAGTTGGCTTAAGTTTAAAATTAACTATAATCACTCGGGAGGAGTTAATTACCTCCCATTAGAGTATAGATCAAGGAGTTGCAAGGGGAATTGATTTGCTCTACCTGATACCTGTAATGCATTAGTGGGCTGACAGCAAAACATGATATTTGATAGCATTACCCTAGATACACTGAGATTGTGGTTATTAACTTTGGCTACATAAAACCGTTCTGCTAAATATTCTGCAAAATGTTATGAACAAGAAAATTGCTTGAATGTTTTCAATTATCAGTTAATTAGGGTTGAGAACTATTCATGCATAATGCACACACCAAAGCATACATATCAGTGCAATTGTTGGATAACCTAATTAGTCTGACACCATTTTCTACTTATAAAATTGTTTACAAAATATTTCAGAATCTTTCTTTTTGTTCAATCTATAACTGCAAAATTCTAGAATAAAGTTTATGGATCTGTCAGGTTTAGATAACAAGATCAGGGGCGGATCCAGATATCCATCCTCCATTTTTGACCGTCTTCCGACAGAAAAAATTAGGTACTCATCAATGTAAACTTTGAACTTTAAAGTTTGACCGTCTTCCGGAAGACCCAGAAGACAGCCTCAATCCGCCCCTGAAGATGGTGAAATCTTTTCTCCTTCCAGCATGCTCCTGCCCTCAACCTGATCCCAAACAGTAAGGACTATGGCTTTTATCCAGTCAGCTCCAGGAGAAGCAACACTCCTGACAGTGGGGTTGCTATACCTCATAACAGAGGCCATCTAATCACAGATACAAACAATGGTTAGTATTCTCATTCTAACTGACGCAGTTCTGGTCATTTGATGGGTTTCAGCACTTGGTTGTTGCCGTGTTAAATGAGTTGACTGTGTTCTGTTTTTACTTAAATCATAAATTGACAGATATTGAAAAAAATCTTGACTGTCCACTTGTTTTTATGACAGTAAACTAATTAATTTTCTTTCCGTCCATAAAACTTGAGATTTAGGTTGTAGTGATCTTCTTAAATAAAAACTGACAAATTTCTGTCAGTGTGTTTGAAAATTGTTTTTTTTTTATTACTCCAAGGCATGTACACGCATATTTTCATTGTTAAATAATTCTAACTGTAGTGAAATGAACCCTTAGGCATTGCTTGACAGCATTAGAAAGCTTAGTTCCCTTGTTCTTTCCCAGACTATGGCATAGTCTCCAGCACAAGTGTAGATTCTGCCCGAGGAAGTGTCCTCTCTGAGACAACATCTACCTCTCATCTTGCAGGTGGAGCCATCTGGGGACAGGGGGATCCCGTCTGTCAGTCAGAGGTCAAAGGTGAGATATAACTGTGTCTCATACACCCTTCTACATGTGTGTTACATAATAAGTTTTGCTAATAATTTATTTTAATTATACAGCTTGCACTTTTATTTAGTAAGCATCATTGAAAGAAAAAAAAAAAAGAAAACCTCAATTTTTTTTATTTTCTTACAGTAATGTCATGGGAATATTTTGATTCAGAAAAGGAAATTGACAGTGTCAGACTCTAAACCACAATCTGCTAGTCATTACATGTTATTGCTTTTGAAATTATTTCAGATGTGGGATTATATGATGCCTTACCATCTGTGACGCAGCTCATGTCGTATGCCAGGCAGATTGCTATGGGAATGGTTAGTAAATCTATAAGTTTAAGATGACACACCTGAGACCAATAAAACAGGATGATAAAACTTGTCAGATTTTCCAGATAAACGGATGAGGCCCAGACAGGGGATGGAAGTTTGAAATAAATGCAATTTTGTTTAAAGGTCATTCTGGCAGAGTATTTGATAGGTTTTTGTCATTTGTTACAGCAAAGCACTTTATATGGGGGTTTTCGTTTGGGGTACATAGCTTGAAAAGTAATCACACAACCACTTTTACCAGGTACAAATGGATATAATCGTCTTTCTGTTACATTGTGTAGCTGTTAAAAAGGACCAATAAATGTCTCATGCTGTTCAACTGTAGATAACAATCTTAAGATAATGATTTTTAGTAGTTTTGACATTTCGTTTTTATCAATTGTATAGGAATACTTGGCACAGAAACGGTATGTACACCGTGACTTGGCGGCTCGTAATGTGCTTGTGTGTGACAATGGAGTGGTGAAAGTTTCTGACTTTGGTCTCACCAGAGATATCTATGAAAGCAGCATGTACAGGAAGACTACAGCAGGGAAAGTGCCCTTTAAATGGATGTCTATTGAAGCCATATTTGACCAGGTTTACACCACCAAAAGTGATGTGTAAGTTAATATATTTGTACCATTACTGAAAGTTTTAGTTAGCTTGTAAAGATAATGATGTATTGATATGGTACCCCAAAAATACCCTCAAAAGCATTAAAAAACAAATTTAATGAAAATTGCACTTTTCATAATTTGTAATGGTTTTTGCAAAATTGTACAGGATATGAAAAGTGAGTTTTATGAAAAACAAGACCAATAAAATGAAAAACAGTGTGCAGAAAAAGATAAACATTTTGACTGTTAATAATCATCTTTATGAAATAATAATTTTTCAGCATATAAATCTTTACATCTATATGAATGTCTATGTCAATGTTTTACTTATTCATTTTGTTTCTATTTGTAGCTGGTCATTTGGTATTGTTTTATGGGAGATAGTGACATTTGGAGGCACCCCTTATCCTGGTATTCCAAACAAGGACTTGTTCAATCTGCTCAAAGAAGGCTTCAGGATGGAAAAACCAGACAACTGTAGCCAGCAAGTGTGAGTATATTAAATCAGGTCATAGTCTTGGCTTTGTATTTATAGTGAAGTACAGTTATGTTACTGATACAGAAGGAAAATTGGGGGTTGATGATAAATTTGCTGATGAATATCAGTTTTCTCTTTGTTCTTAGTTTTGAGCCCTGAACTCTTGTTGGATTTTTTGGTCTTATTATATTTATTTTGACTTCGGTTTCTTTTTCTGCCTACTGGCTGATCTTGAGTGGCATCAGGAGTAATTAAGACTGGAAACAGATTTTACCTTTAATCACCTGACAACATAGCCTCTATACCCAAAATTTGACCTTGGAAATGTGAAATAATCTGGTCACCTTGCAATATCATTCAGTTAGTTGGTTTCTTGAGATTACCTCCACCAGAGGCAAGATATAATGGCAAATACTGGCAATGGCATTGGTGATAGATGAAACAGAACCATCTATTACAATCTTTTTGCCAGTTAATAGTTGAAGGTCTTGATTGAAGAGATTACAGGAAATCCTAGATAGGGAACTTTATAATGCCATTTGGTTTTGTTTCTGATCTGTGAGCTTATAAACAGACAGAGCTATTATTCAATAAGAGCGTCTTTCAGAAACCTCTTATAAATGACTAGGAAATCTGATCTAGGCTGAAGTAAATCACATTTCCATTATTGATGATAATAGCTCAGTAATTCTTTGTCACACTAAGTAGTTTGAGACTCTTTGAGACTTGAATAAAAAGTTATCCGCATTCTGCACTGTAAAGAAGTGAAAGTAAAAATATTTTTCATAAAAGGTTATATATCTTATTTCTGAAGCATGACAAAGAAAATTCAGTTGCCTATTATCGTGGTGCACTTGAAGGTTCAAACCTTAAAAATCAAGACTACCAAGTTTCCTTTTTAGCCTCTGTATACAGCTTACATCTTTTCAATATTCTTGTAACATTAGGTTAAGTGAACTGCCGAGTTATTCACTGATATTTTTGTTGTTCACAGCTATGAGGTGATGTTAACCTGTTGGCACCCTGATCCACAAGACAGGCCTGACTTCACTGAGCTCAGAGCCAACTTTGAGGCAATTCTAGAAGATTCTCATCCTTACATGGATTTCAACCTCCAAGGCAACACAGACTACTATGTTCAGGATTCTGGGAGTGATAGTGCACAAAACAAGTAAGTGTGTTAAACATATGTCTTTTTGGATACCAAATAAAAATAATATATATATATATATATACATACATATATATATAAATATAATATTCATGTAACATCCTTTATCCTTTTTTCTTATGGTCTTTCTTTCTTCAATAGGGAATGCAGTATTTAGCACTTAATAAATACACAGAAATAAATTTAGATGTTTTCATGGCACATTTAAGGCAAAAGCTATGTGCAACCTTATTAAAATGGATTGCTGCATTATGTTCAGCTATTACTGGATTTTAAATAGATAAATATTTCTCTTAGTGTTAGTGTGTTCAAATTAAAACTTATCCAATATTTATGAATTATTCAATTATTTTTTTAGTGCACTGCCTGTAAGGAGTAACACAGTGGAGTCAAGCTCTAGTGCAGACAGCACAGTTTTCCTTTTGGCAGACACAGCCAGCAATGCGCAGCAGCAGCACAACAACTGCAATCAGAATCTTCTCACAGCTGAAGTCCATAACCCTGAGTCTCAACTTACACCTTTGTTAACATCCTCTCCAGGCAGAAAGGAAAGTCCTGTGCAGCAGACACTCAACACACAAGGCAGTGGCAGCCGAACGTCCCTTGATAAATTGATGGATTCGGGCATCCATGCGGATGACAGTGCAATCATGTTAGACCAAAGTTTATCTTCAGAGACTCCTCATGCAAATGGTGCTAAAAACTTCTCCACTTCAACTAATAACATGGACTTTGTTTGTGATATAGAGGACAATCCTGACCAAAAAGAGATGGCGAGCAAACCTGCGCGGAGAGTTGCTGTTCTTGAAAAAGCCAATGGACTGCTCTCTAGCTTGAAGGCTTCTTTTGGTTCACTGCCTCGTTTTCCATTCAATCTAGCCAAGAAGACTAGCCACACAACAACTATAGGCAAAAATGCCCAAACCGAGTTGGAATCCATTAGTTTTAATGACAAGCCACCCCTTCAAACCTGTGTCAGTGTTGATTTAGTCAACACAGATGATGATGATGGCCAGTTTTTAAAGAAAAAAATGTGGAGAAGTGACCTCTTATTGCACCAGCCTAAAACCTCTGTGGTTGCGGAATGCTCCTTATGAAATATTGAGCTAGGGTTTTCATTTAAACTGTTTGGAGATATTGGACAAATCTGATTGTGTATATTAAGACATTTATTTTTTTATTCAATAACATGGGTACATAACTAAGATAAGGACAGGAAAGATATTTTAAACAGTTTTCAAATCTGAAAATGCCACCAATTTCTTTGCATAAAATCTTTTTAGTAAAACCCAACAGTAACAATTGTGAATTATATTATTCACAGCAGACACTAGTGTAAAGTGTCTGATAGTAAAGCAAACTGTGATGATATGCTATATACTTCTAATTGTTACCGAGTGATATTTATTAGCAAGGATGTAGTTCTGGTCTGCTAAGCTGGCTTTGCACTCTTCTAAAAGCACTATATTCTTATGTGGTATTTAAATCAGAATCCAATTTTGAATGAATACAATTGAAACTATGTTGTTTTGTCTTTGTGTGCACATTTTATATAAGGTTTTTCAGCACATAATTGTTATATCCGTGCAATTTATACTGCACTCATGCTCTAAAGCTTTTAAACTCCAAGTTAGGTATTGTAATTGGTTAATGAATTGTGCAAGTATCTTTCATTTTCATGTCACCTTGTCACTACTGTAAGACAGAGGAACAAGTGATTTTCACCAGTTTCTCTTTTTTCATTTAACTTGTCACTTTGAGAATAATTATCTCCGAAGCATATTTTTGTGCAAATTAGGCCTGTGTTGTGTTATATGTACGGAACCAAATATTTACAAAAATTAACATGTTGACAAAACCAACATTTGTAAATATTGACGTGGAATGTTGTAAAATTGATGGTTAAGAGCTATTTTTTTATATAAAAGACTGGTGCCAGCCATAAGATTTTAAAAATGTTTAACATTGTCCTATTGCCAATACACAGTTACCACCCAGTTCTGCATTACATGCATTAAATGACAGCAGTTTCTTTATAATCTTATTGTCAATAGTAATTTCCCATTGCCAGTTTTACATCTATTTTTTTTTATTTTATGTGTCAGTTTTCTTTTCCTTTTTTTACTTATCCCATGATAGATATACTGACTTAATTTGTATTTGAATGATCATTTTTTTTTATTTAATAGGAATAGTTAATTTTAATGTCTACGACCATAGCACTTATTAGTGAGCAGAAACATTGTGAGAAGTAAAAGGTAGTTTTTGGTTAAAAAAAGCACAAACAAATCACAAAGAATTGAAATGTTGATGTGATCATATGATCAGTACCTGATAAAACACTCAACAAAATGAATAGAAAAAAATATAAAAATGTAAAAGAAAGAACTCAATAAATGTTGTGACGTAATCTGACATTTTAGAATCCTTTTCTCTAGCACCATAAAACTCTTTCCCTTACTATTTACATTGAAAAAACTCAGTCTAATTATTTCTTAGTAAAAATGAAAACTGAAACGGGAAACAAAGCAATAACTTAGTCTTTTTTATTTTCTGTACTTCGATTGTATATAGTAATAAAAGCAGGCCCAATATCAGCTGTATAAAATTTGAGGATACAGGAAAAGTTGCACTTTTTTTAAAAGCACTATATTCTTATGTGGTATTTAAATCAGAATCCAATTTTGAATGAATACAATTGAAACTATGTTGTTTTGTCTTTGTGTGCACATTTTATATAAGGTTTTTCAGCACATAATTGTTATATCCGTGCAATTTATACTGCACTCATGCTCTAAAGCTTTTAAACTCCAAGTTAGGTATTGTAATTGGTTAATGAATTGTGCAAGTATCTTTCATTTTCATGTCACCTTGTCACTACTGTAAGACAGAGGAACAAGTGATTTTCACCAGTTTCTCTTTTTTCATTTAACTTGTCACTTTGAGAATAATTATCTCCGAAGCATATTTTTGTGCAAATTAGGCCTGTGTTGTGTTATATGTACGGAACCAAATATTTACAAAAATTAACATGTTGATAAAACCAACATTTGTAAATATTGACGTGGAATGTTGTAAAATTGATGGTTAAGAGCTATTTTTTTTATATAAAAGACTGGTGCCAGCCATAAGATTTTAAAAATGTTTAACATTGTCCTATTGCCAATACACAGTTACCACCCAGTTCTGCATTACATGCATTAAATGACAGCAGTTTCTTTATAATCTTATTGTCAATAGTAATTTCCCATTGCCAGTTTTACATCTATTTTTTTTTATTTTATGTGTCAGTTTTCTTTTCCTTTTTTTACTTATCCCATGATAGATATACGGACTTAATTTGTATTTGAATGATCATTTTTTTTATTTAATAGGAATAGTTAATTTTAATGTCTACGACCATAGCACTTGTTAGTGAGCAGAAACATTATGAGAAGTAAAAGGTAGTTTTTGGTTAAAAAAAGCACAAACAAATCACAAAGAATTGAAATGTTGATGTGATCATATGATCAGTACCTGATAAAACACTCAACAAAATGAATAGAAAAAAATATAAAAATGTAAAAGAAAGAACTCAATAAATGTTGTGACGTAATCTGACATTTTAGAATCCTTTTCTCTAGCACCATAAAACTCTTTCCCTTACTATTTACATTGAAAAAACTCAGTCTAATTATTTCTTAGTAAAAATGAAAACTGAAACGGGAAACAAAGCAATAACTTAGTCTTTTTTATTTTCTGTACTTCGATTGTATATAGTAATAAAAGCAGGCCCAATATCAGCTGTATAAAATTTGAGGATACAGGAAAAATTGCACTTTTTTACTTAATTTCAACAAACTTTTAACTACTTATTATATTTATTACTTTCATGCATTTACTTTTGAACCTCCCTTTTTCCATTATGTAAGTTCACTGAATTTTTCAAATACCAGCATATAATAAAATCAGTGCATAATGCTATAATTAAGGGTGAAAAAAGGAAAAGCTACAAAGAATAGGGGAGCTCAGGTAATATATGGCACTTTGGAACATTCAATCATAGAACCTGACAGACAATAGTCTATATATTAAGAACCAAAATTCCTTGAATGCTGTCACTTATCAATACATAGAAGAAATCAATATATAGAATATTTTCCTTGAATGCTGTCACTTATCAATACATAGAAGAAATCAATATATAGAATATTTATAGTCCTGAGAATCACTGTATCACATCAATGCCCTTTCTATTTCTTAAATATGATATCAGTTACTGTAGTAAATGTCCTACATCACTTAACACAACTGTTACTCCAAGGTGGGCCCAATTTAACTTTTAAAAAAAATTGCTACTTAGTGTCATCTTAGAGACAAATCTAATATGATTGTATTGCCTTTATATTCTTCATTCAAATCTATAATTTGAAATAATTATTTAAGACATTTTTCTAAGGAGCAGGTAACACAAAAATTTACACAAGTAACTGTCACAGACAATTGGAAAAGAAACACTTTGCACAATATGCAAATATATTTTGCTTTTTAAATAATTTATAAATATCAGACCAATGCAATCAGCCAATTAAAAATTTGTTGCTCAATGTTTTATCTATACAGCTTGAGATGTTGTAAAATAAAGTAATCATCACAGTTGATCAACAACTATATGTACCTCATTGTGGAATGATATGTACTATTAAATACTTCTTTCATTATATCAAATTTTCTTTTAAAATTTAAAAAATCCAAATGTCTGCTGGGAAATCCCCACTGTAACATAACAGTCATATAAACCATTCTGTTCGGCATTGTTTGTTCTTAAGCTAGGCATGCTTTACCTGGTACTTCAACACTGTATCCTGTGGAGCTTCCACCACAAAGTTATCAAAATATCCAATCCCAAAGGTGTCAGTGCCCAGTGCTGCAAAGCCATTGGCTGGTAACTTGTCAGGAGCCATGAGGGACAACACCTGGTGGCCATCAACAAAAGCTTTTACTGCTTTGCCCTGGAATAAGATGAGAAACTGTTATCTTTTTTTTTTTTTTTTTTTTTGTTCTTCATAATCCATCTGTTTGGTTATCATTACAAAGCTTTCTTTATTATTTTATTTCCATTTGTAAAAATCAATCTATCAAGTTGTATTCAGAATAAAGAGGCATTACAAATATTCAGATAAAACAGACATTCATTACCACAATATCTAGCCTCAGTGAATTCCAATTTCCTGTTCTGGCCATGTTGTATTTTCCTGATCCCAGCAGAATTGCGCGTGCTAAAAGAAAATACACCAAACAGTGTAATAATTGTATATATAATGCATTACAGGCTCAGGCAGCAGTTTTGAAGTAGAGCTGTAAAATTCAATTTTTGTCATGACATGTACCAATGAGCCTCTGATGATACCCATCTCTGAGAACATACAAGTTGTCTTGGAAAAGGAACTGTGCAATATTTCTGCAAACAACATGTATGCAAGCAAAATACCGCAGAGCTACAGTTGTATGTAGTCTTTTTGTGTATATCTAAACTAATAACTTGTCAGTCTTACATTTATTGTACATTGAACATTACAATTTTGGTGTTGTAATAAGTCTTGTGCTGAGGTAACAGTTAAAGAAATATCATAAATTTATATCTAATTTTGATAAAAAGCAAGTTTTTTAATTTAGAAAAGTTGTCAGTACTTTTGCATTTTCAAAAGTTTTTCAAATCATGGTCAAGGAAACATTTTTGGTAATTTTGGCACAATATTTCAACAATTCATTTTTTTAAAGAATCAAGCAACCTTGATGGGTACATTTTAATAAGAAACAAACCTGTAGAAGGTAATACCCACCCAAATCCATTGTAAGAAAGACCTTGGCATTACCAAAGGAATCCGTAGGAAACAGCCAGAAGAAGATTCCCTTAGCAGCAAAAGTCTCACATCCTCCTCTGTCCACCCTGGCGGCTATGAACACGCCATCTGTAGCATTTACCAATGGCACCTGGACATCTGCTCTGACAGACAGATCAGTCCTGCAATGGCAGACAGCAGATAGGAACTGCATGAATGCTTAAATTTCTTCTGATCTTATTGTCATAAATAACCTCATGTTTAAACAAGAAATGAAACTTGCGCATTATAGAGATAAATACATTTCCTAATTAAGACAGGTAAAAATAAATGCAGAAAAACACAGTTTGAAGCAAACAAAAAGATTCCACACAATGGACCTTCTCAAAACAGCTTTTCAGATGTTTCAGTTGTAGGGCACTTTAAACCTTGTGATCTGAAACTGCTTCATGATTTGATGCCACATTAAGTTATTAAATGTGACAACTTAAAAATAAATACACATAACTTTACCTGAGCATACAATTTGATAATGACAATACTTATGTAAAAATTACACAAATTCTAATCTTTATAAATATCACATTTCAAATGAAAACTCTCTGTGACTATGGCATAACAGATACTGCTGTCTGAAATGGACTCCAGTAAGAGTAGAATCACAGATTCCCCCAGATCAGTTTCTACCATGAGGTGATCACCTCATCAATTAATACTCATAATCATACAGCTTGGAGCTAGATGCAGTGCAGATTAGGTGGGAGTGATAGACTGTCATAATAATGTATATTTCTGATATTATAGGCAAGGAAAGAATAAAAATTTATGTGAAAAATGGACTCTCTAAATGTGTTGTTAGGGTAAGTGCAATAAATAACTTTAATAGGAAAAAAATAATACTGCCTACACACTGGTGCAAACAATAGCAAATTGTAAGCCAAAATGTGATAATAAGAACAAATATTATGAAACTAATCGCAGTTTTCTGCAAAATGCTACTGTGCATATTGTTCAACTCAATTGGGCAACTTGAGTGTAAAGATACACACTGTGACTCTCCTCTACATCAGAGACAAGGCACGTTGATTGGGGGAGTCACTGTGAGTATACTCTTACACTCTAGGTTTCATTCAGAGTGAGAGTTTTTAAAGTGCCCATTTACTATTACATGTATCTTGTGCCTTTGTTCAGTAATTTTAGAGGTGTAGGAATAAAGGTGACTTAAGCCCAAATGTGTGTTGTTTTAAACAGAATGTGTTGGACTAAACACATACCATGTGCCATCTCCGACCACAGTCATAGGGAAAGTTTGTAAGAATGGGCACCAGTGGATGGGGGCTCGCAGCACCACCTGCTTAAGCACCTTGGTAGTAGTGGACTTGTTAGCCACAGTGAGAATGTCAAACATTCCCACTTGTGGAGTGAAGTAAAATGGTTCAGAGCCGTCATCAAATGCTGTAGAAATAAAGATGAATTCTTTTTCTAAATTCTACTTGGTTAGTGGGAAGCCATGCAAGCAAGGCCTACTGTTTCAAAGCCCACGCAAATTGTAATCAAACAAGGTTCCTTGCCATCTGTAAGAAATCAGAGTGCCTATGTTATGGTCTCTGCAACACATGCTGTACATCAGACAGGAAGAAACAAACAGGAGAATATAAGTAACACAGTAAAAGCACAGTGTAGAAAGCATTATGCAGGAAAAAAATCCAGTCTTTGCATAAGCGTGTATGAGAGAAGCACCACTGCTGAGCTCCTTTTCATTGCTTTTAAAATCTTCTTCAATCACCATACCATGTCATGTATGCAAAACTTCCTGTTTGCCACATTCACTGTGCAGCAGCAGTTGGATCTCTGCCAACAAAGTTATCCCTGGGAGAGACCTGACAGCCTTCTGCTTACCATTCAGAGCTCCCCACCAGGGCATTAGGTTTGGTGTTGTTCCCTCCCCCACACCAATCACAGGGTTGCTGCAGGACACTTTGCTTTAGCACTTTCCTATGTCCACTGTGCCCATAGACATAAAGGATCTCAAATGTACCTACTTGTTGGACTATGTCGTAAGGTTCTGCAGACTCATTGTAGGCTGTGGATGAAATATTAATAAGCAAAGGGGTTCAATTAAAGAGTGCAGATGATCTTGTATGAAATATTGAGAATGAAATTCAGAATATTATCTATTTTTCTTTAATTACTGGCTACTGTGTGGAACAGGAAATGCTTTTATGCTTCTAACTGCGCATTTCTTCTGAAATCAAATAAATACTTGAATGGTCATAAATATATTTCAAAATTTTTATTTTCAAAAATAGTTGTAGTAATTCATTTCTGAATGTAAGGTATCCTCTTCTTACATTTACTGTAGTCAATTCCATCTCTTTGTTCCTTGGGCAATATCAATGTAAACTAAAGGGAAAAGGTAATAAAATATTCCATACACAAACAGCAACTTACTTAAGTCTCTACCTATCTCAAACAAGTAATTTCATTAAATAACATTTAAAAAAAGAAAGAAAATTTGTTTACCAGGTGTAAGGTTCCTTTACTTTAATAGTGTAAATGTATAAAATAGCCAGAAATACCCTTAAATTTCTTATTTTATTAAAATAAATCTTATTAAAAATCCTTTTGAGAGCAACACTAGAAAACATGGTATAAACACCAATGACTCATTTCATATCCATAAGTTACATCTTTAGTCTGGTTTCAACTTGGCATAAAAAATTAGAATGTATATATTTACAGAGTAAATACTTGGAAAAAAACAAGCTTATAACTACCAGCTTTTTAAAAAGGTTGAGGGTGAATGTTTCATTCTTTTGTAATGTTGAAAACTGAGGTAGAACAAAATCAGTGCTAAAAATAAGAATAGGCAACACTTGGTATGTGTTTCTATCAAAAAAACTGGAAGAGCAGATATGCACTGGGGTTGACTATTTGTTGAGTGCTCTAGATAAGAGTAAAATTAGGTCTTAAAGAGGCAAATAATAAGATTTTAAAAACATTTTTTCTTAAAAGTACATAATTTAAAACCACTTCATTTACCTTAGGACAGTAATACTTTTTGATCTTTTTAACAGATAAATACTATGCATTAATGTTGCCAAAAATCATCTAATTAAACACTTCCTGACAAAATTTGCCACCTGTCAACAATCTTGGCACAGTTACGTGAGTTTTGGAGGGCGGAATTGTCTCAGATTGTTACAGAGGCATGCCCAGTGTCAGGAAAGGGGATCAAAGGTGGATTAAATGAACAAAAAAAAATACTATTTACCCCAGGAAAATTAGTTTAGTATGATTTTTTGCAAGAAAATCTTACACTGAGCATCTTTAAATTCTTACATTCAAAGTCCTCCTTGTAAGGCAAAGGGAAGGGCTGAGAGGCAGGTGGAGCAGGATACACTCCTTTCTGACCAGCACTTGAGGTAGTCACTGTATACAAGCTGTCCACTTCTAAAAACAATGTGAACGATCCATTTTGCACCTATGAAAAAAAAATACCAACAAGGCTTATTTCTTAAAAAAAAAAAAAAAAAAACTCAAAAGGGCTTAAAAACGTATAATGTATTTGTTCATCAAAATGTTTTTAACAATTTGAAATATAAAGGCATGGTGCAAATAATCTAAAATCTTGAGAAAATAAAAAGGTCTACAAACTGTGGTTTGATTAATTAATAAAGGCTGAAAAAAGCATTTACAGTAAAATCATTCATGGTTTGCTGATGATACACTTATAATATTGTATTACGACACTCATCTTAAGTCAATGAAAACATGTTATATATTTACATTAACAGATCCAACTTGCTTAAAGAGTGTTGACGGTTGACCATTAAATCCTAATTTTGTCACCCATAAGTTTAAAACAGTAACAGTTTTCTGAAAGAGGGAAGAATTCATACATTAGTATCAAATTCTTCTTTGTCAAGATAAAAAAAGATATGATAATGACATTGGTAATGTAAATTATAATATTACTTTGGTTCTCAACTTCTCATCATCTGACACTATTTCAAAAATCATAACTTTTGAATGTAAGCAGTATCGAACTTACAACATACTGTATAGAAAGATATACAAATGTGAGAAATTAGAGAAAGATTTTCCCATGAAAACATCTTTGGGTTGAAAAAGTTACTTACAAAGCTCCCCTGTAGTTTAAATGTAGCATTCTGAGGTTTGACTGTATATGGTGGCAATGCTGGTCTAATACATTCAGAATGGTCATGAGACTAGAAAAGACGAAGTATCAAATAATAATATTTAAGAGCCGTCTAAATAAACAAAAATATCCATTGGTACGGCAGTTGTGCATAACACAGATTCATTTGTTAGTTTTAATATTATTGCAACTTATGGTCTAAATCAATACAGTACTATATGCAAGTAATATTTCACTACCAAAAAATATAACAATATATTAAACAGCTTAGCAATATCACTGCAACACGTACATAAGTTTGCTATTATAGTGAACATGCTCTTTTTTCCCCTCTAGGTTCATTTATTATGATTTATCATTACTGATTTAACTTAACTGTTGCCTTAAGTCCCCATGCTAATAAAAAACCTTTAATATCCTGTGTACAAATTTTGATCCAAGTCCCCACATAACTGGTTGAAGCCCTACATATTCTCCTGACTAAACATTCAACCTACATTCTTTAACATTATACATATTTTATAGGAAAAAAAGAGAAATATTTAAAACCTTAAACCTTACCATTTCATAAAAAGTTATCATGTGAAATCTATCATTTCTGTTTCTACATACCATGGTCTCAATGATAAGAGTCATCTCCTTCTTGTCAGGACTCTGTAGGGTGACAAAACTGCCCCCACCATATAGTTTCCCCACCCCTGCTCCATGCTTCAGATAGGTCCAGCCTATCTCTGTGAACTGAGTGGTGTGAGCTGACAAATGGAAGGAGAAAATGACTCTTTGTTCAGCATTTTAAAAAATCATATACCTATGCTCTTTTCATACCTGACTGATATGATGACAACTATCTTATTAACTCAATGAGATGTATTGATTTGCATCATACCAGGATTAGCAGGGACAAAGACTGACTGACAGCTTACAGAACATTTTTCTGGCAAGGACAAAGACGTGATTATTGTTGTTTCATGTCCCAATACCAAATAAAAAAAATAATATCTATGTAAATCCAGCTTTATTAAAATATGAATTGTTGAAAACTTAAAAACATCATCTAACATATAAAACAAATGCCGTCCTAAAAGTAAGAATGATTTTTAAAAACCATCACCTGTCACCCAAATGGGGCTGGACACCTCATAGTGGCCTGACCATGGCTCATCTGCTGTCATCAAGCCATCATTAGCAAATGGCAGATGGGGGTAATATGATGCCACTAGATTCCAGGATATTGTGCTGGTAAAAAAGATATTCTATTGTTGGGTTACTGACAGGTAAATTTTTTCTAAAATTGTCTGTGACAACAGGGCAGTTTATGGAGACACAAATATGAGGGGAAGGTAAGTAAAAGTAACACCGGATTGGATTGTTAAAATGAAATACTGTGATGTCAAGTGGCTTCAGATTATGTGTGTCAGGCAATGTGAACTCACAGCATGAAATATCAGATATGGTAAATCAAAAAATATCCAGTCGAAGTGTGACAGTGCTAAATCTAACCTTTTTATAACTTGAAAAATAAGGCATTACTATAAACTTACCAAATTCAACATAAGACAATTTATAATTGCTTCTGGTACTAAATTATGTTAGTCCTTTACTATTACTTTCCCAGTAAATAAAAAGCACCATCTTGGACTACAGAAAATTTTTTGCCTTAAGTCTCTACACTCACCTTGTCATAAAACCATTAACATAATTTTGATTCAGAATCTGAAAAATAAAAGTATTTGATTTTACAATAGGCATATTATCCACTGTATGGAATAAAGAAAAACTAAGACAATACCTTGACTAAAGATAAGAGAAAATTTTGTGAACTAAACATCTCTTCTTTTACTTTTTTCTTATTTGAGTAAAGCTACAGTAAATCAATCCTTTGAAATAATTCTATTTCATATTTTAATATGAAATGGAATTATTTTAAAATTATTTTATATTTTAAAATCATGTGAAACCATCTTTAAAGGGATCCCAGTCTTCTCAATCACACATTTCAGTCCATGAACAAAATTGATGAAAATGTTTGCAAAAAGCATACAAAAATTGTTGTAAATGTGTAGCTGCATCATAGACACTGGCAAATTCAAATTTGCATGCTTAAACTTTGTTGAGCATTAAATTAGAAATTTGTCACCAAATGCCTGATTGATAAGAGTAAATTTTGTTTTTTAACCATACAAAAAATAATCATCGATAAAATTTTTTTCTACTTACCCTTGCCCAACACCCTGCACCAACATTGTCATTAAATGTGCTATAATCTTCAGAAGACCACAATGGTTTCTTTGTCTCCAGTGCTTTGTCAGTGGTGACTGTACCTGGGTAATGTACACTAGAACATAGAAAGAGAGAAAATTTAATATAAATAACTTGCATATTTATTTCCCAAATAAAAATTGCAGCTAAATATAATGTAGTACCCTACCATTTATAAGGTAGACTCCCCACCCAAAATGAACCATAGGTCACCTGAATAACTACCACTACTGTCATTGCTTCATTTTTTTGTTTATATCAAATGACATATTCTGCAGTAAAAATAATAAATATGCCAAATATGCAATTTTTCTTCTTTTTGTCTGTGAGAATATTCCTGTCAAAAAAAAAAAAAAAAAAAAAAAACATTAAATGCTTGAAAAGACATTGGACAAATTAACATATCTCAACTATGCCCCAAATAATGCATGTTTAATTACATATATATATTACTAACCCTATGTAATCTACTACTGCAGCAAATGCTGGATCCTTTAAGATATCGTTTGCCACACTCCATAAGCTGTCTGCTGCAACTATTTTAATATGGGTAAAACCATTCATGTCCAAGGTTTTCCTTAAAATCTGAAAATACAGTAATTTTCAAATTTACAAAGAACATGTATATGCAATTCTATAAAAACATTTCATTTATGGGATCAGAACAACCTGATGTACATTTGATGCATTTTTTTCAAAATGTTCAGTCAACCAAACTTTTCCAACAATAAATCTTAAGTACTCACCACCCTTACATGTCACATACAGTGCCTATGTACATTCACACGTGGTCTTAAATTAAATGCCATTCATCTTGAATATAATTTAAAAACTCACCTTAACATACGTAGTGCTGTATGGTCTTTCATTCCATATCTGAATCAATTGAAAAAAAATTATGGGTATAAATAATGAAAAGAAACCAAAAGATTTATGAAATGAAATAAAAAATTAATTAAATCAGTATACCAGGAGAACATGTGTGGTATGTGAATTTAACAAAAGATGCTGCATCTATTCTTTATGCAATAGCTGATAAAACTTACCCCAATGTAATCAACATCAACACTGTAATACTTTTTAGCCCCCTGTACCCACTTCAGTACATATGTAGCAGTTAAGTTGGGATAGGTATATGGGTTTCTGGTTCCATTCCCAACCCAACCAGGGAAAGCCCACGGCAAAGCATATATCTTGATATTAGGGTTTCTCTGAAATATATGTTAATTATGTCTGATTTATGAATGCTGGTGCTCAAACTTATGCATTTTTGCAAAAGCTTGAAATGATACATATAGCAAACTGAATTTATGCTATACCATATCGTATTAGGTAAATAAAATTCATTTAATCATGCAGTATTTTATACTTCCATTAATGTTCATGTATTATTTTTTTCTGGAAGCATTTCATGGAGTGCTGAGCTCTGACTTCTCCCTCTGATCATACCTGGTCCCCACTGCACATGCTGAAAAGAGAGACACCCACCTTTTTAGCCTCTGTTAGCATCCACCATTCATAGCCTCTATGGTAGTTTTCATCCCACGCTTCATGCATGTGTGAAGCTTCACAACCCTCTTAAATGTCATAAAATAGAACCTTTTTTAAAAAAATGTATTAATTTTTCTACAACTAAAGATGAAATTTGTTATAAAGTCTTATTTATCAGCAAAAAAAGAAAAGTGAACTTTTATCAAGATATTGTATAATTGTAACAAGACATTTGTTGCTCACCTGTGCTTTGAGAATCTCCACCAATTTCAACTTTGAAAATATGCAGTGAAGCACCGAAGTTTGGCTGAAAAAAATTGCCTGATCTAGCATGCACTCATTTAAAATAAAACATATTAATCTTATGACAACAAAACAATTTTAAAGATACTCTCCGAGTTTAAGATCTCAATAACCAGCCAAGCATGAAACATTACAGTATACACATAACTTGAACTATGCCGTATTTTTACAGGTACACAAGTAATACGTGTATAGTGCTATTATTGAAATTCAGTGACCTATCAAATAACTTACCTTGAATAGATAGTCAAGTATTTCATCTCTCTGTTTCATTGGATAATTCACCAAAAGCTTTGATGTTGCCTTCAATTATTTAAAAAAAAGTGGTTTTAAAAAGATGAAAATTAAATTAGTGTATAGGGAATTAATAAACTGTACACAAATTCACGTTTTGTTAAACAAACACATGTAAAATATTGTGATACGGTGCATTGCAGTTTTTTTCACATTTTATCAAGCAATAATCACTAGAGCCGATACATGGGACACTAATCACATGAGCAAAGGTTCCAAACAACTATACCACTGATATGATACCTTTATCAGTGCTCATACAATGATTTAGACACAATTTTGAACTTGGCAATAAAAAGGCCATAAAGATCTGTGCCATGATACTTGCGGCCACATGTCTTAATCCATTGGGCCATAAAACTTAAGTCCCTATTAAGTATCATTATTTGACAAAATTTAACAGCAATACATTTAATTGTAATCAAAGTCTTTAAAAGGGCATTCAAAGCCATAAAATATGGTGGAAAAAAATAAATAGCTGTATTTCAATGTGTTTAAAATGAAAAATAGTATACCCCAAGTAATCTCTTAGTATCAGAAGTCAAAAGTCAAAACCTAGTTTCAGATGCCATACCGTGAGCTATTGCATTAACCACACATAACGAACAGGCAAATATAACGATTTCTATCAGATTGATGAAGCGGGACAGGGGTGGACCGTGGACAAGGGGCGTTTTTAAAATGCCGGTTTGCAACTTACACCGCCACCACTGATACCTCCAATCCCATCAAATTGCCTTCCAACGCCAGTCGAGTCGTCGATATCATACACCTGGCCGACACAAAATTCGAGTGTTTGCAAAAAACAAACAAGAATAAACAAAATAAAGAGCTGTCTCGTGATGCACTTCCCGCCCATCTTGGATGCAAGTGTAGCACTAACTGTGCTCCGATATGGACAGTGCACTATAATCGGTCTTCTTTTACAGAAAACTGCGACTCTTACATATTATCAGTAAATTATTTGTCAATATTATACCAATAATAACAACTTAACTGAATAATTATCTCAACGGCAAGTGTGGGAGTAAAGTGTGTGTGGAGGCGTAGTGTTTAATATTACGGTGAGTTAGTGTTCTTTTTCTCAGAACGGAAACTAATTTCATTACCAATTTAATTTTAACAATTAACTAAATAAATTATAATGACTGTAACGTTAATACTTAATTTTTTTTTGATATGATAAAACATTTTGATATAATATGAACAGTAAGCTCTAACATGGTTTAAAAATGGGTAAATTACCATTGTATGAATATTCTAATGCTTATGATACATGTAGATCTACATGAAAAAGNATTCTGAGTACTTCTGATCAATTTATGTTTAAATATCGAGAAGACCTCATGCTGCTCATTAAAGATTGCTTGTTGTAGGTAAAACATTGTTGAACTCATTTTCACTTAGGAACAGGGCAACAATGCAAGGTTGGTCGGCAGTTGCAGATAGCTATGACCCGCTAAGAGCAGGCAGCATAGATGGCACGGATGAAGTACCCCACGACAGAGGTGTATTCAGAGCTATGAACACAAAATATAGACCAAACAAAGGTGTAGATGGAGATCCAACATGCATCATATTTGTTGCCAGGCTTAATCATAGAACTAGTGAAGAAACATTAAGAGAGGTCTTTTCAAAATATGGGTCAATCAAAAAAGTCAAACTAATCAGGGATATTGTGACTGGATACTCTAAATGCTATGCCTTTTTGGAGTACACAGACAATAAATCTGCATATAGAGCTCAGAGGGAGGCTGATAAACAAGTTGTGGATGGGAAGGAGATATTTGTAGATTTTGAACATAGTCGAACAATGCCAGGATGGATCCCACGCAGGCTAGGAGGTGGTTTGGGTGGAAATAAGGAATCTGGGCAACTAAGATTTGGTGGAAAAGATAGACCTTTCCGGAAGCCTATATTATTAAATCAAGTAAGACCGTATGACAATGAACATGTTAACAGGAGGAGGGATACAAAGGACAGATATGAATATAGAGGGCACAGATATCAGAACAGTAATCCAAAAGGAGACAGGGACAGGCGTTTTCACGAAAGAGCAAGATCCAGGTCCACGGAGAGGAGTCCATCTAGAGAAAGGGGTAACAAAGACAGAAAGGAGTCAAACAGAAATCGCAAGGGAAGATATTGACTGTTGCAGAAAAAATTGCATGCAATTCTGAATGCGACTCTGAAAATACTGTCATATCATATATAAATGTATAACTCTACCAAAAACAGAAAGGTTTAACAGTATGATTTGCATGTAATAACAGTTAGATTAAGAAACTAAAACGTGCACTGCTGAAATCTTGCCCCTGTTAAACGAGAAAAAGAAAAAATGAACAAATATCTTGTCAACATTGACACAACTATCATATCTTTTATACATGCGCATATATATATATATATATATGTGTACGTCCATGATACTAGGTAACAACAATGGGTTATCATCTTTGAAAGTCTTTTTCAAAATATTCCTATGTGTTGGATTACAATGGGGGTGCTTTCATGTGAAAGGGTATGGATTTGTCTTATTATCACAAACAATTTCGTGTTTCCAAACATTGCTGCATATTTAAGTTTTTTAATTTGTAACTCATGAAAAAAGACTTCATATCATCACTGTTTATCTGCCAATTCAGGATCGCATCGTGCTTTCCCAACTCTGTGAAGTTAAGTGTGCTCTTCCCCAAAAATTTTTACATGTATTTAATGTTACATTTTCCAAACTTTATATGAATACGGTATGAAAAAAATAAAATAGATATATTCTAAGCGGAAAGCGTGCACACATGAGATGATTTCATGTCATTGCTATTTACCCGCTGATTCAGGATTCCCAACTCTGTGAAGTTAAGTGTACTCTTTCCTAATAATTGTTGTATGTGTTTAATATTATATTTTCCAAAATTTATGATATAAAGCAATTCACGATGCATATTCTAAGCAGAAAACATGCTCACAAGATCAGCGCCATGTTGAAATTTTGATGCCATGTTCCAATGTTGTTACCCAGTATCGTGGACTTTGGAAGGTATTAATACCATTATGCTGATTTAGAATTATATATATATATATATATATATATATATATATNAGTACTTCTGATCAATTTATGTTTAAATATCGAGAAGACCTCATGCTGCTCATTAAAGATTGCTTGTTGTAGATAAAACATTGTTGAACTCATTTTCACTTAGGAACAGGGCAACAATGCAAGGTTGGTCGGCAGTTGCAGATAGCTATGACCCGCTAAGAGCAGGCAGCATAGATGGCACGGATGAAGTACCCCACGACAGAGGTGTATTCAGAGCTATGAACACAAAATATAGACCAAACAAAGGTGTAGATGGAGATCCAACATGCATCATATTTGTTGCCAGGCTTAATCATAGAACTAGTGAAGAAACATTAAGAGAGGTCTTTTCAAAATATGGGTCAATCAAAAAAGTCAAACTAATCAGGGATATTGTGACTGGATACTCTAAATGCTATGCCTTTTTGGAGTACACAGACAATAAATCTGCATATAGAGCTCAGAGGGAGGCTGATAAACAAGTTGTGGATGGGAAGGAGATATTTGTAGATTTTGAACATAGTCGAACAATGCCAGGATGGATCCCACGCAGGCTAGGAGGTGGTTTGGGTGGAAATAAGGAATCTGGGCAACTAAGATTTGGTGGAAAAGATAGACCTTTCCGGAAGCCTATATTATTAAATCAAGTAAGACCGTATGACAATGAACATGTTAACAGGAGGAGGGATACAAAGGACAGATATGAATATAGAGGGCACAGATATCAGAACAGTAATCCAAAAGGAGACAGGGACAGGCGTTTTCACGAAAGAGCAAGATCCAGGTCCACGGAGAGGAGTCCATCTAGAGAAAGGGGTAACAAAGACAGAAAGGAGTCAAACAGAAATCGCAAGGGAAGATATTGACTGTTGCAGAAAAAATTGCATGCAATTCTGAATGTGACTCTGAAAATATTGTCATATCATATATAAATGTATAACTCTACCAAAAACAGAAAGGTTTAACAGTATGATTTGCATGTAATAACAGTTAGATTAAGAAACTAAAACGTGCACTGCTGAAATCTTGCCCCTGTTAAATGAGAAAAAGAAAAAATGAACAAATATCTTGTCAACATTGACACAACTATCATATCTTTTATACATACGCATATATATATATATATGTACGTCCACGATACTAGGTAAAAACAATGGGTTATCATCTTTGAAAGTCTTTTTCAAAATATTCCTATGTGTTGGATTACAATGGGGGTGCTTTCATGTGAAAGGGTATGGATTTGTCTTATTACAACAAACAATTTCGTGTTTCCAAACATTGCTGCATATTTAAGTTTTTTAATTTGTAACTCATGAAAAAAGACTTCATATCATCATTGTTTAACTGCCAATTCAGGATCGCATCATGCTTTCCCAACTCTGTGAAGTTAAGTGTGCTCTTCCCCGATAATTTTTACATGTATTTAATGTTACATTTTCCAAACTTTATGAATATGAAAAAAAATACGATAGATATATTCTAAGCGGAAAGCGTGCACACATGAGATGATTTCATGTCTTTGCTATTTACCCGCTGATTCAGGATTCCCAACTCTGTGAAGTTAAGTGTACTCTTTCCTAATAATTGTTGTATGTGTTTAATATTATATTTTCCAAAATTTACAATGCATATTCTAAGCAGAAAACGTGCTCACAAGATCAGCGCCATGTTGAAATTTTGATGCCATGTTCCAATGTTGTTACCCAGTATCGTGGACTTTGGAAGGTATTAATACCATTATGCTGATTTAGAATTATATATATATATTACATTTGAAAGCTTCAGTATTTATTCTAAATCAGCATAATGGTATTAATACCTCCCAAAGTGTGTACACAGTTAACTGTAGTTTTAGTGAATATAAAGACTGGAAAATCATTATCTGTAGTATATATATATATATATATATGAGTGTGTGATCACTGTGATCCAACTTTGTTCATAAGATGAGGTATTAGTGCATACAGTTCCTTGCATCCTAACCTTTACACTGTAGAAACAAGTGCTCGGGTTGGCAACAAGATTTTTTCACGTTGTAAGTAATACTGTTTTTGTTACATTACTAAAATTAATATTTAATAATTATATTTAATAATTAAATCTTTCTTTTAGCTCATCCACTTTAACTTTCCATCAGTTTGTATTAACATTGGCTCTTGAAACTGCATTTTTTAAAAACTGAAATGAACCATATTCACATTTATAAATAAATAACTCCTTCAAGTTCAATAAGGTGCATTTATTTTATGACAAGTGGTTTGAAACAATATTTCAAAGTATAAATACTCAGACTTATTATAGAGTTTATATCTTATAATATATGTATGTGTGTATATATATATTACATAATACATGTGTGTATGTAGACATCAACACTGCTGCATGTTTCTCATTTAATGACTATGGTTCCTGTATTATCGAATACATAGCTATCCAATTTATCTACATGCTGTACAATACAACAGTTTAACTACTTCCTTCTTTTCAATAATCGTTGCAATGCATGCAAAACATTTATCTATTTCACATGTTGACCATTTCCAAAAAGAATTTATATTTATAAAAATCTATGCTATGTGAGCTCAAATTACAACTTCTTCAGATCAAATTGATTAACTGTTGAAAAAAATAATAATTGTATCTGGTTTATGTTTATAACAAGAACATGGGTGCTATAATTAAAAGGTATTTGAATTATATACAATAATTTAATGAAGGAAAACAAAAGAAAAACTCCAATGAAAGTCTAATTTCTCACTGACTAGGCCACCACCCTTTAGCACAAGTAACAGACATTTCCCCCTAACATAAATATGAGAACATAACCTTGAACACCTGCTACTGGCATAATAAAATACTACAGATGATTATTTTTCCAAAGATGCAGTTTCAGGTGTATAGAAAGCTTCCAATAGTCCTCACACCAATGACAAATCAATATAGCTTAATAATGCAGTAAATTGTTTCAGTATAGATAATTTGGGAGTATATATTGTATAATGCTAAACAGACGTCCAGTGGGGCAAACATATCCAGAGCAAGCTTGGATCAATTAACTAATGATTTTTAAGGCAAGACATACTTGTACAAAACTAAATTGCACAGATAAGAAAAGTGACCCAATTGGAAAGAATTAACATCACCGTACACTTGAAAGTGACATGTATATTACATGACTTTCCTTTTCATATTTGCACGGAAATATTGAACTTGACAATCAAGCTGAGTCAACTTGTACTATATAGTTGGTATGCCTTTATCTCTGGCAATATTTCTGCACCATACTGAGTATGAAGAGATTCATTTCATGTGGCAGCAAAAGCTTACACTCCCTCTAATGTGAAAGTGAATTCTTTGAGCCCAGCTGTTACACCATCCTCAGAGATTTTCACTTAAAACTATTTCCCACTTACTGTAGAAAAAGAACCTCATGTAGTCGACAAGGTGGCAAAATATAATAAAGTGAGCCTCTACAATAACAGAATGGGTCTTACTGGCATTTTAATACATATGTTTGCACAATGTACACATGGATCTCTTTTTAGCAATGAACATCACTAAAAAAAAAAAAAAAAAAAAAAAATCCCAAGTCTACCATTTGCTGCCCCCTTCAAAAAGAGCATTCAGTTGCCTTTTTAAGAAATATAAGACACTTTGATGATTTTATCATTAATGCATTACAGATCTAAGTAACTGTGCCTCAAGACAGCATATTTTATTAAGTGGCCAAAAATTGTGCCCAGAAAGGAGAAGCGATAAATGTTTTATATAAGAAAAAGCAACCACCAAACAAGTAACAAAATGTCTGCAGAAGAGCTATCTTTGTGAAGTGATAAATAGACAAACAAAAGAAAGCATTCCCAAATGTAAGGTCACAGAAGTTGTCACCTTTGAGATTAGGTTGTGGCCAGGATACTTCAATTCAATTTTGATTCCCTACTGTCTACCAAACTATTTGTAAACCATCAAATGTAAAATAGGTCGCCTTACTACAAGAAAATAGCACAATTTTAACATTTTTGAAAAAAAAAAATATTAATGAAATTCAGTCATTTCAGATACAATTACAATATATGACTGCATTAAGTAAAGTCTGAGAGCTTACAGAATCTACCATACTGGAATAGATTATCCAATCTATATCAATCCTACTTGACAGGAACCACCACGTTTAATTAGGTTACATCTTCATTGGAAGGAAATCACAGTAGTTGTGCATCAATCAGATAATTGGATTCACATCAGATCATTAATTGAATTTTAGCAGTGCACAAGAAGGGATTAGCAGTATCCTGAGAACTTGGGATTATGGATTCAAGTGTAGAGCAACCTTTTAACACTACCTTCAATTACCTTCTGTTACCAAGCCAATATTATGAAATATTATTACTTTGTACATATGCTTACAGGATGCTTTAACAAGGAACTGCAATGTTCAGGCAAAATTTTATAGGTATATACCAAAAGCCAAAGAATAAATTGAACACTTAAAGTGAAAGTTGTATGTAAGAAAATCATTACTTGGGAATGTACATGTACTTTAAAAATTGCTTCATTTTCTTCCAAATTCTGGAAGAGTTATAAATTCAGCAATCTTATATCAAACAAGACATTGCTAAGCAAAATATCCTACAAGCAAAATATTACATTGTACAGAACTTTTGACATAATAAATAAATACACAAAAAGATTTTTGGAGTATTGTATGAAATGTGATACATATTAAGACAAGTAACTGTTTGAAAATAAAGAAAACTTAAATTCTATTCTGAATAGGAACTCCATAGTGCTGTTGTTCTTACACCAGTTAAGAGTAATTTTTCATTAAAATTCAACTCCCTGCAAACACTTAACTGCAAAACATCTTATAGACAAAATTTTTACCCCATAAAACTCGCAATTATCTTACTCAACATTAAAATGATGGGGATTCAATTGTCCCAAAATCCACAAGCCCCTCTTGCTTCTTGTTCTGAATACTGAACAGTAGGATCAAAGTTATGAATACCAGCATGTGAAGACATGCAATGCCTACCGACATATAAAGGTTGCCCACATTTGTCTCTGGGCACACATACACACAAACTAAATCACTGTTCAACAGCTTTGAAATATCTAAAATAGATCTTTAACTTCATATAATTTATGCTAGCCCAGATGATCTTCATGTGACTCCCACATGTACACACAGGAATCAGTTGACAGCAAGATCTACACTAACAAACTGCTTAAGCCTCTCTAAGTATTGGCCATAGAGTTCTACATCATTGTGACCGGCGCCTTCTACCCAGAGTGGCTCCACGGCTCTTGGACAGCGCTCATAGATAGCCAGGCCATGAGAAAAATCTATAACTTCATCCTCTGTGCCATGGATCACAAGGACGGGAGAGACGATCTTTGGAACTTTGTCAATGCTGAAATGAAACAGACATGTTGTTAGATATTTCGTCTTTGGGTTGATCATTACCAACTTTCACAGTACTAGCATGCTACTAATATTCATATATGTCAAAACTCAGTACATTTTACAAGTTATATCACTTAATGACAATATATTGATTACGTATTATTTTCATGCGTACAGAACTTAGAGGTACACAATGAACACAATTATTTAATTAACAACAGCAAGACCGTTTGTTGTACACGTAATAGAAGGGCTGAAGGAAATCAGCGATAACATGCAACATACGATACAAAAATGTTTTTTAACATCTAAAAATGGTGTTAGATAGGCACATTCAGAGGTCACCTCTGTAACTGAAGAGAAAAAACCTGCCACTGTGAGACTGGACAAATACCTAGTAATGAATGCCATACTCAATAGAATGTTTGTTTGCCTGCTTCAGGTTGGTCTGAAACTAACACTTGACACGCTGGAGAAATTACCAACATGCAACTAGGCTCATTTTAGAAAAATAATACATGGATGAAATCAATACCAAGCTAGCATACCTGTGTACTTTGAATGTTTATCATTGATCAGATAATGTAAAAATTACTTTCACAATCCAAGATCTAAACAACTCTCCTGTATCTAATATGTGAAATACAAATCCAACTGCGTGACTTATTGATGCTTTAGTACAGCAGCTACAGTATCACACATGGCATGCACACATTTAAAAACTGTTTGACTATATAATTATCTATCTGCTGGAGGGCAATGATAACATTCTTGTTCTGACTAAATAGTTATTTTTCACAAAAAAATATTTTATTTTATTTTTCTTTTCACAGTAAATATCATAAAAATAAGTAATTTTTAAAATTGTGAAGAGTTATACAATGAATTTAGTCTATTATTAGGATTCAAATGGTGTCTTTACAACCAGTTCATGATGAGACAGAGGGAAATGAATCATATTGCTTGGTGCATAAACATCTGATAATAGCTATAGAATAACTATAATAATGCATGAACCGCATGCTGCAGCACTTATGATAATACTGGTCACTTAGCTGGCCTGTACAATTAAGACTGGTGAATAATCAATACAGAGGCCTTTCACTTTCTGAAACACCTCTTTATTACAGGTCAACAATTTTTTAACTTCAAAGTCAGTAGCCATTCTGGTTGCAAGACCAAAAACTTTCTAGCAGGGATAAATCTCTCTCACAGTTTCACAAATGATAAGTGCCATCTGTGCCTTAATAGTTATGACCTGGAGCTACAATTTCATATTCCATATCAGTGTATCAATATATCAGTAATGACCCTCAGTATTAAATTTTTGACACAAAACAACATGTTTCTGTAAGATTTAACTTCAATTTTTCCTATTTACAAATTTACATCCTTTTTTCCTCAACCTCAGACTATTTTCAATATGGAAGATGTGAGGAATTCCAAGTTAGAGCTATCAGAAATTCCAAACAGAACAGAAGTAAATTTTTTTCTCCATGATTAAGTAAAGAAAAAGCTTCTTGAGATACACCAACACTCAGTAAAGCACTTTGGATGTTATTATCAGAATTAATTGACTATCAGACAATAACTTAATGATCAAATTCTTGTTTAATTATATTCAAATGCATTTTTTCTGTAAATTTTACTTGATTGTTGGGCATGAAGATATTAAAAGACCATACAACGTGTCACCATTATAAGTCTGTGACTCTGTGTGATGTAATTTGTGGAATTAAGGTAATTCATTTAAGATGATTGTTTTTACCGATCACTTGAAAAAGAAGCCAGCCTTGTGTTCTTGTATATTCTGTATATAAGGAGAAGAAATATTATTATAAAAAAGGGAACTCCTTTGTGTCTTTTTATCCATGACACGCTGTAGAAGAAGAATCCTATTAGTGAAGTGAACAGAAGCAAAACGTAACCTAGCTGAATGTAATTATCTTACAGGATAATTGGCCCAAACCTTAGGAGATCTAATCAATTCATTAGTTATTCCTTTTCTTTACTTATTCACTAGAGAAGTCAATTAACTTAAAAGAGTGAACATGTCAATATCAATTACAATGTCTGTAAACAGAACTGCCTACTGCATATTCAAAACGGGTTACTTGTGTACTAGTAATGTTGAAGTGTTGAAAAATAATGACTCATTACTTGAAATACATGTATCTTTTAAAATCAATATTATCAAATTGTGCCTTAATTGAGACGAATCTCCACAACAAAAATTCTCTGAAATGACTTTTGTTTGTCCTCAAATGAAATGCAACCTGTTCACAAAATGCATAGAACCGAAGTAATGGTTTGAGAAATAATATGCTTTTCAAAAGGTAAACAATACATCCTATGTCTTTGAAATCCATTCAATTTAACAAGTTAACATTCACCTTTACCAAAATTGTGTAAAACACCTAACTACTAGTACTTAGGCCTCAAACCAACAGACAACTTTAGAAATGATAATGGTATATGCTCTCCACAAAAACAGAGTGCACGTTTTATCACAGCTACTATCTGACCTCCTTGCCTTCCAATACCGTGACAGGAATAGCAACCACAAAGACAGACTGTCTCTGTCTGACCTCAGTACCACTAGAAATATAGTCAGTTGCAATACATACTTAGGCAGCAGTCTATAAGACAAAGCAGTCATTGCCTTGTACCTAAAGGCTACAACTAAATCACCAATGATTGGGCCAGCAAATGATCATTCACTGTTTATAATTACTTCAATGAATAAAGTTCCATTATAAGCAATGAGTCATTTGGAGAGAACTGACAAATGCACAATGAAGTATTTAGGATTTTAAATCATTTAGTTGTGTTTATATGATAAGACCTTATTGATTCATGCTTTTAGACAAGTTTGCACATTAGGTAAGAGAAACAGTCAGTATGGACCATGTATACAAAAATTAATTATAACAATACTACTAATTATTAATTAAGCTGTTAATCATACTTTAGTTCACTGTTTACCAAACAAATGATTCAGTGTCTGTTAAGGGTGTAGTGTGAACTTTGAGATGTGCAGTTCACCTAATGACAGTGTGTCATTACCGTTACACACAAACTTTATCTAAAAACTTATTCTTAATCTTATTCTAATACCCATTTACCAATATCTTTTTCTGACATGTACAAAAGACTGCTCGCTTCATTTCTTCAATCCTCATGATGAGTTTTTATCTATGTGCTGGTGTTTTGGTGGGAGGATTTAGTTCCCAAAGGCAGAATTTCTCCCATGAAGTTTAAAATCAAAAGCATTCAAACATGTTACTAAAGCTGTCCCCCCCCCCCCCCAATAAGGTGAAAAAAAATTGTAGATAGAAGTTCCCATTGCTAACACCATTAACTGTCACCTAAACATTTTCTCCAAGTAACAGTTGCCCATATAATTTTGGTTATCTTCATAGTCAAATGTTTTAGGTAGCATTATATTTATAAGCTGCACATCCAACATATGGAAAAAGTCAAACTCTGCAAAAGTGTAAAAAAAAAAAAAAAAAAAAAAAGCAGAGCCACCAGCATCACTAACAAAACTTTTGGGTAATGTTTTGTTTGCATTTACTGCCTAGTTTATGTATGCAAATATTTGACGAGAGAAGAGAAAAGCTGGTCACAGTTTATGATACATACAGGTACATCTAGATATATGACTTTTATCATTTAGTTAATAGCATATTATGACTGAAAAAGAGATATGTCATCATCCAGTATTTTTGAAAACTTTTGTCAAATATGACCTGTTCAAATATCTTAAAGGCCATCCTCTTCAAAACTATATTTTTGAGTTTGGAATTTAATGAAGTGGTGGTTAGCAAATATTAACAGTTATAAAGAATGGTGGCAAAATTTTAATTGCATCATTTTCATGGTAAATTTTCTGTGATGGATTTGCTAAACTTTTTTAATGGCTGCCCATCTACTTGGCCACAGGTCTTGTTCCACCTACCTAGGGAATGCATCAAAGAACCATGTTCTCTTGGTCTCAGGGAATGCCACTCTCATGCCAGATGTCAGTGGGGAATGAAGAATGACGGCACCCACTTCATATCGTGATGCCAGATCAACTGTTGGTACTGTGCCGATGCTCTGCCCGTACAATATAATATGCTCTGGACTGATTCCATATCTCGTTCGAAGTGCCTGCCAAGCTGCATCAATGTCAGAGTACAAGTTTTTCTCTGACGGTTTCCCACTACTCATACCATACCCTGAGTAATCATAGCTGAAGATATTGCAGTTTATTCTGGATCCTAGGCCAATGTAGAAAGAACTCATCTGTCCTAAATCTACGGCGTTTCCATGACTAAACAAAATAGTGTATTTGGCGTTTGGAGATGTTCTTACAAACATACAACCTACTCTATTTCCCTTTGATGTGCGAGTCATAAAAACTTCTATACAATCTAGTTCTCTCTGTGAATACTGCCATTCTGATTTTTCTGTTAGATGCAAGCTGTATTTAGAACCTGCTTCGTCCGATACGAAAGAATAGGTAGGTTCAGGTGGTAAAAATGCTAGTTTGGCTGCAATTCTGGATGGACACGGAGGACAGCAAAATAGACAACAAAGTTCGCTAAATGATAAACCATTCATTATGAAAGTATTGCTTAGTGTAATTGTGAACTTCTTTTTCCTTATATGACACTTCACAATTAAAGCTCCTGGTCGTCACAACTTCAGTAAGTGGTTGAAAATTAAGAGAAAATAAGTACCGTCAATCCACAGCTTTCTCTTTTCTTCCCCGTGACGTCACTTGTCCGAAAGTGAGGCAGAGGTACGGGCAGTTTACTTCCGCGTTATATATTTAATCATTAAACCCCATTGGATTATTTTAAACATAGTTTTGAATTTTTTGTGTTTATAAATAAAAACAATATGTATGGATGTATATGTAACATTGTATAAAACGCAATCATTATTAAAATTACTCTGCCCGTACCTAATGTTTTCTATCACTGACTTCTAAGCTCCAACACGTGCGGGTAATGCCCTGTCCCCTAACAGTCTGTAAAACATGAGTTCGCAAAGAGGCAACGTCAGGAAAACTGGCCCACCGAAACATCAAAACAAGAAGGCCTTCAAGAATTCACTTCATGATACCAGCAAGAAGACAAAGGAGATAAACTCACTGGAAGTCACAGGGGTGTGTGCCAGATGCAAAGACATCATTGACTGGAAGATCAAGTATAAGAAATATAAGCCTCTCACTGTCCCAAAGAAGTGGTAAGAAAATGATTATATTTTATTTGATAAAAAAACTGTTGAAGGTTTAGCCGTAAGGGTATAACTAAATAAGGCATGCTACTATACAGTACTTGTATTCTACTTTGTTTTTATATAGGTGGTATTTAGGTACACGTAGCAATGTTTTGTCAGCAAAGCTTTTCCCAGGATTGGGGTACAGGCCGTCCATAACTTATAAATTGCCATCTGTAATTTCCTTCAAAATTTCAGGGTGGCCAACTTTCTAAGTGCCGTGAGGGGAGGGGGGGGGGGGAGATTAAAATAAAAAGAAAGCAATATTTTAAAGATAATACAGTACATTTCAAAAGGATATGAAAATTGCCTTTTTGTCTCACCTGGATACAAGACAATCTTCTGCAAAGGAAGCCCCTTGAACAAATATGAAAATTGATTTCTCATTTCGCTCGGATTACAAACAAACTCCCTTGAATGAATATGATTGTGAATAATCACCTGACGATCTTCCATGAACAAAGTATCTGTTCTTCTTGTCCCACTTGGATCGCAAACCAACTACAGCTCACAATCTTCCGCAAAGAAAGTCCCTTGAACAAAATATGAAAATTGCCTTCTTATCTCACTCAGATCGGTAACTATCTTCTGCATCCGATCTTCAGCCCATGAAGTCTTTTGAACAAATATGAAAATTGCCTTCTCATCTTGCGAATGATATCTTGCTGAAGAAATGAAAATTGCCTTCTTGTCTGTCAGTGTTGTTGTATGTACTGCTGTGTTTGGTGTAGATTATATTTAAAGTTAATGGAAACATTTTATTGTGTTTTGTAAGCTGTTGGTATTAGTTACATCGTGACTGACTAACAGCATGCACTACAAAGTATTAATATTATATTCGACTGGAATGCACCATACAGGCTGGGTATGACAAATTACGGTACTCAAACAGAATTTTGTATGACGTCCATGGCCACCCCAACAAGCCAAGCCATCATTTGAAAAAAATTCGTAAGCTGTCCAGATGTCTTTGGAAATATAGGTTGTCCGGTGATGCTAGTGACTGTCCAAATGACGGCTGGAGGGTTGGCAGGAACAAGCCTTGTTTGTCAGCCTGGAAAGTGAAATAAAGAATAGCTTTATTACCCACTCGTGCTTTTTTCATTTAATATTGTTACTCCTGTAGTTTGATAATGCAGAAGGAAGCAAATTTCAAATTACCATTTTTTTTTTTAATTTGAAAAGATATAGACTTACACTTAAATTTTTCATTTTCTGATTTTTTCCTTAGCACAAAATGTGAACAGAAATCAGTTAAGAGAGCATACTACATGATTTGCACAGACTGTGCAAAACATCATGGGGTTTGTGCAAAATGTGGAGAAAAGAAAGATATTGTACAAGGGTGAGTGGTATTAAACTCTCACAGTTTAAAAAAGTCTGAAGGCAAAATATATGTAAAACAAAAATATAATCAAATAGAAGCCCTTCAAATTTGTCAGTTTAGAAAATTGTAAAACATAATTTTTTAATATGGTCAATGGGCTGCATGTTTATTCTTTTGTGATGACTGCTGTAGCACTGATAATTACATGTAAACATTACAGTCCAGGCTTGTCAGCTGAAGAAGAGGCTTCATTAAACAGTCAGCTCCAGCAGGAGTTAAAAATGTTACCAGAAAGGAAACGGAGTGAGTATAGATGTGTGGCAAAGACATTTTTAGATCTAAGAATGTGGACAGGACAAAATTTCTGTTATCTGCCAAAAAGGTACAATACCAGTTGCCCATATATCTTTTTATTATGCTGTAGGCATCTGTAGCTGGTGCTTGAATTGTGTGGAAGATGAAGTGTACATTTTGAAATGCTGTAGCTACTGCTTGTGAATAATATAAAGTTTATTTATGCATATTTTACTTTTACAGGAACTTTTTTGAGACTTCAAGCTGAAGGCAAGTTTTCTGACAGTGGTTCTGCTGCTACATTTGAGGACAATAGTGATCAGGATACTGATGAAGACTGCATGTCAGAGAATGAAATAGGCTAGATAGCAAATCTGAAAGAGGCCTGAAGAATCATATTTCTAACGGGGCTAAATTCATGGATAGTCACAAGGGATAAGGGCATCACTTTGCTACATATCTGCCACTCTTGATGAACCAGTGTCACACATACCTTAGATTCAGCTGTATATGTCCAAATAGAAAATTGAAATTTTCCTCATGCTCAAATTCTCAACTTGCAGCTACTGTGTTTGTCGATAAATATCCTTATGTTGTACACACAAAAATATTGTTTAGAGGTGTAGTTCCAAATTAAGTTTAAATAAAGTCCAATACTTGGGGCGTGACTTTTTAACCAAGTTAACATTGTTATCAACATGTACCCTTGTAGTGGGAAGTTTAAATATGGGATATAGATCTTTCAAGGAAGATTTGAAATAGTGAGGTAGTTTGCAATTGTTGGAGCATGTTCACAATGACACCATTCAGCAAATCCAACGCTATAAGATCAGAATTGTCGCCCTATTTTGGGAAGTACAGTTTTGGGTATTTTTGCAAGCATTTTGAAATAACAAAATTGAAATTAGCTCAAAGGGACAAGTGAAATAGATGAAAATGTTAAAGGTTGCTTAAAGGGATAACAACTCATTTTTGCCAAAAAATGGATTTTCCCAGAGTAAAGGACAATTTTCCCATACTTACCAATGGTAAATGAATCCATTCCAACATTCAAAGTTAGTCCCTGTTTTTTTTTTTCTAAAAAGTTTGTTTTTTTGTAATATTCTCTTAAGAGATTATTACAGAGTATAGCCATCTATGGAAGTCACATGATGTGATGGCAAGCAAAAATTCCAGAATAGTTGCATGAACTGCTGTATTGGAGGTAAAATAGAATCGATTATATTTTTATGAGTTGTTTGCAATGCATTTATTGTAAAATATGGATATCATACAAACAGTTGTTATCCCTTTAAGATACTACGGATGGCCACTGAGTGTGTCTTTTCTTTCAGCATATTTGATAAATTACTCGCAAGAATAAAATGAACTTATAAGAAACAATTCGTATTAATTTAATCAAACTGCAGTTTTATTATTAAAACATTACCTATAAGTTTGCATTATTTTTAGCCATATAATTCTTCTATGCATTTTAAATATTTTCATATTGTACTGATAATTTATCGATCCAATTTCAATCAAGCTCTGTGGTTGTGATAACAATTATCACAAAAAGCCATGTAAGACACTATACCTTCTGTTTCAACATAAAAAATTTTAAACAATTTTTAATGCTTTAAAATATTTGTTCTTATGTGTGCATTCCATTCAGCACACAAGTTTTAATTAAAAAAAAATTGGAACAGTCCATGGCCTCCTTTTGAAAAAAGGTCAATTCTATGTCTTCTTGGTCAATTCTATGTCTTCTTGGACAACTGCTCATTAAAATGAAACCTCAGAACTTGTTCTTAACACTGCATTTGTAATGATCACAAATGCTTTCTTTTGATGAAATTCTTCTGACAGAGTTCTGGTTTAAAACAACTGTTCAGTAGGATGGAAGCTGAACTCCAACACTCGCCATGCTGCTCTGGGGTCCAGAATACTCTGATCTCTGCACAGGGCCCACACATGAACTACCTTCAAAAGTTTGTCCTGAAGAATAAATGTACAAAAAGAATGACTTCTCAAATGCTAGGATAAATGAAATGGTAGTCTGCTTTGATATTTACAGAATGTTGTATATACTATTATGTTGAAAAGGCCTTATTCTTTGCATATTTGCATGGTTCAATTCCACTTTCTTTGATTGATACCAATGCTGGTTAAATCAATTACAACAGCATATCCATATGTCTCTTCAAGGCAGACATGTCTCTTATTACACACCGAGAAATGTTATGTGACCGTGGAGATATTTACTGGGTTTTAGCAGTGTTTTTGTTAGTAACTTCCTTTCAAAATTTATGTCAAATAATATACTGCCAGTCTTTCGCTATATGTGCACCAAACACTTTGCCGATGCTCGAGGTGTTCTGGTATACATGGCTCAGGGTCCCGCAACTTGAAAGCATTGCATATTGCCAATAGCAATATCACATAGAGGCTAAATTGTATTATATGGGACGAGTATGGAGTTACGAAATCGAGATGCTTGCGCTGGGTCACGATGCGCGATGTTTTCGAGTTACGGGGTCCAGGTTGACAGTGTATTATCTCATACATAACTTACAGGATCTCCTGAGACAACTTTGTTAGATTTATCTACCCATGCTTCCACTTGTTGTGTGGAGAAGCTGATGATCAGCACTGGCCCCTGCTCCATCAGCTGTCCTGCTGCCAGCTATAATATAGAATAATGTTGAATTAGAATAACACAGATACACCTATTTAATTGCCTTAAAGGAAGGCTGGGTGCCTGAACATTACGTGGGCAACAAGAACACCACAAAGCCTCCAATTAAAACATTCTGCCGACAATGCCATTGTGTTTTCACTGCCTTTATTCTATTAACTGTCATTTTATTTTAATTCAGATTAAATGTAAATTTGTGATTTTCTTAGAATCAAGAGTAAAATCCTTAACATCAACCATGTATCTGTAAGAATCCACTTTACGAAAATGAAGAGAAATCCACGATTTCTAGACTTACTTCAACAGGGCTTATATCTAACACTTTGCACTGAGATTTTAGTCCCATGGCTAAATTTTGTTGCACTGGTTGACCCAACACATTGAATGCCTGAAAGATAAGGAGTTTGAGCACACTTTATTGCTTCATCTATAAAACAGCTTTTGCTCTATAATATCTGTACCTCTGTTAATCAAAAGATATCTCCAGTCAAGCTTATATATTCATATTTTACTCTGAATGCCTGTGAGAGTTCTGTACAACTGCATTAAGACAGCATATTTAAACACAAAAGTACTCAAGAACTTCTAGCACTTGCAAGAGGTAATGAACATGTTAATTACACATCCTACATGAGAAATAGTACTCACTGCTTCATAGCACCAGTCCTGAAGGATTTCTAGATCTCCCCTGACCCAAGACTAGAAAGAAAAATATAAATAATAGTACAGCACATACAAATGAAACAATATGCTGTTAATATATACGTACTTTTGAAAATTGGTAAGATGACAGAAGGGGAAAATGCCAGGATTCAATTACAGTATGGGCATAAAAGAAGTTGCTCAATTAATCTAGCAGTACAGGGTCCATACAGCAACATTAATAACAAATACAAGGACTTTAGTGACTCTAATTCAATTTTTTCAAGGACCTTTTGAATGCACATGGTGGCAACTTATTGTCATTCATAAAAGTACATACCACAGAAAAAAAGCCTTATTATTTCATACAAACTTTTATTTAACACACTAATGATGAAATGTGAAAATAATAAAATTACACAATGTCCAAATACAATATTCTCTATTTTTGTGAATTACTGTATTTGTTCCACATAAAAACTGCAAGAATGGAAAAAAAATTTTGACAAAAAGTGATCAAATTCATGTTCTTTTCAAGAACAAAAATGGTGAAATAGAAGCCCCTTCAAGGCTAATAGCAATTTCAAGTACTTTTCAAGGGCACAAACTGAATTCAAGGCACAGGGTTTAATTCAAGCACTTTTCAAGGCTGTATGAACCTTGCAGTATTTTACCATTTACAAGTTAACATTTGCAAGCAATATCTTTCAGAGCTCTAAACATTAAATGAACAGCTTTCACACCTACCTCTAGTACATTGGGAACTAAGTCTTGCCTACACTGTTGTAGAAACTTCTCCTTTTCAAAGGTGGGATCCATTTTCTCAATCTCAGTCAGCACTTCCGACATCTTTGTTGGCTGAAGCATCCCTCCTGCAATAAAATAATAACCTCCATTAAGGGTACAATTTATTCACATGGTTTTTGTATTGTACTTATGTTGTACCCTTCCTTTCAACTACAAGGAATATTTTTCTCCCAAAACAACAAGATAATACTTGTGCTTCAAAATGAACTTGTAGATCACACAATAATTGCACAATAGATGAAGTCACTTAGTTTGATAACATAAATATACTGACCAAATACACTGCCAATTCTGTCTGTGAATGCCCTAGTCATCCGCACTGCTAAATGATCACTTTCATCATACTTAGTTTTAAGGTCAAATAATTCTGAAAAAAAAATCAAACATAAGTAGCTTTATTTGCTATAAATTGAAACTTACATAAAATGTGAAGCAACTCAAGTTTATAACACTTTCTTCATAGTGTTATTCTGGTAGCTAGTTTATTCAGGTGGTTTAAAAATTACACTTTATGTCAGACCTCTGTCTGGAGCAATCATATCACGACACTAAGCTTAATGATTTTAACTAAGTAAAGAAAAAACTAGAGGATCAGAGAGGCGATACCGCCTCCGAATATTGTACCACCAGCTGGAGCAAGCGCATTCGTATAGACCCCCACATACACAAAATAAGGGACACAGCCACCAGTTTTGTGCTTGACAAGCTGTAAAAATGCAATCAACAAGAATTTTTAAACTATTGCAAAAAATATATATGGTACAANCGGTACAATTAACTATGTAACAGTAAAAAAAGACTGAAAGCAAACTTACTATGAACATACTGGTTGCTGTCTTTAAAATTCTGCCAACTTTGAGACCACCTGGAATCTTTATGCATTACCATGCCAGTGCTCTCTCTGAAAATAAAAATTGATTCAATTTTATAAAAAAATGTTTATTTAAGAAAGAACTGTCAAAATGTCAAATCTATGCAGTAACATGTAGAATGAGATGTTCAGAAGAGTAATATTTTCACCATGGTAAGCCAATACTGCAAAACAGTCTAACAAGAACATTTTATCATGAATTAAGGTACAACATTAATCAAAATATCAGCTGTCTTAAGGCAGTTGCGCAAAAAATCTTATCTATTATTGGTCTGCCATACAATGAATTCTCACCAATTCATTAATGAACAGAAATTTATCTAGAATTATTCAAAATACAACTTACTCATCAGGTGCAATGATCTTTTCATCCTCTGGATTATTAACTAAATAGTCTGATCGTTTACGTAGTTCAACTGCAGATAAAAAATAAACAGCCTGTTATAAATCTGTACATTTCTGATGTCTAATCTTTACAGGTTTTAGTAAAATAAAGTGTTCTTCTATTATTCATTTGCTGAAAGGCTAAGACATACCAACATTTCAACACATATTCAATCAGGAATTTTAACTGCATATGGAATATAAAAAACAAGTAGACTATAATTTTTAATAGAAATATATTGAAATACCCTACCTGGGGCTTCATAAATTATTGTACTTTTTTGAAATTCAGAAGAAATCGTGCCTACACCCTGAAAGACAAGAAAAATGGTTGTTCTTTTAATGAGGTATAGGGTGCACTTTTTTGCTTGTATCATCTCCACTGCAAAAACATTTTTCTACATCTTATATGTAGAGGTTCACCACACTCTCTATCCTAGGGTCATTCTTGAACCTTTATTTGTACAGTCCTTGCTACTGACATCCTTCTTGTCCAAAAATTCAATCAAATCATAAATATTGAGCCACATAAGTTTGATTGATGCATAATCGATATATAGCAGCAGATGTAAAAGGTCGCATATAAGTTCATTCTGTATGTTAGCCATTGGTCCTTCCTACACCTGAAACACTACTGGCCAGTATAATTTCATTGGACCAGTAGATTCTTCTAGAAAACATGTATGAATTAAGTGGTTTGACAAGGCCAATAGGGTTTTTCTATTTATTTTGAAAAAAACTTTCGACTTGATTTAATTTTTAACTGTTACATAATGATTCTAAATAAAAATTGTTTGACAAAATCAAGGTCTTGATATAACTAATAATAATGCAACAGATTAAAATGTCAAGTCCTGTCATAATCTATATTCAGACCAGTGAATTGTGATTTTGACCAGTAGATTTTACGAAAGTGATGGTCTTTCGTGGTAAGTCACACAGTTATCCACACTTTATCCATTGCATCCTTAATTGTTTAAATTAACATGTTGAGAAGTGGCTACCTATGTAGAGAACAGGATGTTTGTAGTCAGTCTTTTATCAGCATGCACTTGAAATAGGGATCTTTATTTTTAAAAAAATGACACAATGATGGCCAATTCTGTTCATAACTTAACCATTAAGGTGAAAGAATGTCCCAAAGTCTTTTTAAAAAAGAAAATCACATCACAAAAAGTAAATATATCTTTCAGAAAGAATTTGCAATTTTGAAATAATCTTACCTCTTTTATATTTTTGATGGGTCCTATTTTTCCAAGTTGCTCACTGCCTCGACCAACTGTTTCTGACACTTTTCCAGCTACCTCTCCAATTTTTTCTGCATGTTTGCTCACTTCTTCAGTTAATTTTTTCACACTTTCTGTCTGTTTAGCTTCCTCTAATTTCTTTAAAAGAATGAAAATTTTAGTGTCGAGACTTTCAACAAACATATATATATATCACATGGTGAATCTATAACATTAACATAAGGAATGACAATTTACACACTAAAGTAAACAAAAAACTTACCTGTGTTAAGGATTCAAAAATTTCAGATTTTTCCTTATCCATTTCTTGCTGAAAAAAAAAAAAAACAACAAAAAAGTCTTTCAGTTATTAGATATGAGAGACACACTGCTCGAAGTTTTTAAACCCTTAATCTAGAAAATCACCTAAAATCAGGAGTTTCCGTGGGAATTGAGGTACAGGGAGTACAAAATGTAATTTGGTCAACGATTTACAAGGAGTCCAACCCAAGTAAAAATATGAGGGAGGGGGAGATTAAAGCTTTAGGTCATGATACACTGTAGTTTTATTCAACTGTTGTGCATCACACAACCTGGGTACATCAAATTGCTTTTTGGTAATTTGCTAGGCTGTCCACAGTTCAACTCGACCTAAAAACATGTCATTTCTCCAAAATTTTGTAAACCATCCAACCGTCTTTGGATATACAGGCCATCTTTTAAGGTCACTGGTTTATGCCTGATAAGATCAAAAATGAAGATTACTTACATATTTTTGTCTAATTTTTTCCAATGCTTCCGATTTTTCTAGTTTGTCGGCCTCTTCTCTAAATTTTTTTACACTTTCCTGAAATACAATGATGTATATGCAATACATAAATGTTCAATAGGTCTGAAATATCTGATTGTATTGAGTAACTGCATGTCTTATATTAATAAATATATACAACATACCCCTTAAAATTCACACATATATTGATATTTCTAATTACTTGTTTAGATCAGAAAGAGATATTTGAGCCAAATTACTCCAACAAACAAATAGTAATTGCAAAAAAAGATGCTTATTTACAATTTTCAAATGATAAATTGTAGTAAAAGCAGCAGCATTCACAAATATTTATTATGAAAAATTCTTCTAATTCTCCTAATTTTACGCATTTAAGAATTTAAAATTGAACATTACCTTCATCTCTTTATTTTTATCAAATTCCTGCTTTATATTTTCATAAACTTTAGAAAAGAAATTACCCCTAGCCATAGACCGAGACTGAAATAAAATAAATTAAAATTCAAGTAAAGGCAAAACAATATATTGTCTAATTAACAGTAAATAATAATCTAAATAATCACAAGTAATTGTGAAAAATGCTTTCTAACACTTGAGAAGTCAACAGGTCAAATAACTGTAGAAAACATTTTCTTTTTACATAGCTATTTGTTTAATCTCCAACTAAGTGGTACTTTGTAAAACAATTCTAAAGGATGTTATTTTGTTAATTCGTGTGGTGCAATATCTAACAGATAATTGTCACTAAAAACTATTTCATATATTTTATTAACATCTTATGAATGATAAGTTGAAAATTTAAATAATTGCAACTTTCAAAACTTAAACTCACCTGATAAATTCGAACATCCAAGACTCCAGTTTTTTGGTACCTATCAGGTCTATGGTGCAGGCATACAGAAGCAAATCCTCTATCAATTAATGCATTTTGTTTTATATGTAAAGCCTGTAAAACAGAGAGAGAATGTGCTTGTAAGACAAGCAAATGCATAAATTTCAGAAGTGCTGCACTACAGACAATTTGAATTAATTTCAAATTTAGTTATTTTCAATTTTTGACTGCCTCTACAAAGAAAAATATGAAACTGAAATTTTCCTTTGCTGTGTTATTTTCAATCTACTTCCATGCAATAACAAAAAAAAAAAAAAAAAAAAGAAAAAGGGGGNTGTGCTTGTAAGACAAGCAAATGCATAAATTTCAGAAGTGCTGCACTACAGACAATTTGAATTAATTTCAAATTTAGTTATTTTCAATTTTTGACTGCCTCTACAAAGAAAAATATGAAACTGAAATTTTCCTTTGCTGTGTTATTTTCAATCTACTTCCATGCAATAACAAAAAAAAAAAAAAAAAAAAGAAAAAGGGGGAGGGGTTTAAAAGCCAACATAACAATTATCACCCAAACCCAATATAGAGGTGCGAATGAAGTTACAGGCATGCACTTAAAATATTTACTGCACAGTTTATAAACTGTTTGATTATTTTAGGGTCCCACACAAAGAAGTTTGTATCAAAGTTTCACTCTCCTAGAACCATGAATAATAAAAATAATTCATCTTCTAACACAAATACGGAGCATACACTACTGTCACAATGCAAAATGTCCAGCTGTGGAAACATTTTACCCACTTTGAAAATTCAATCATCACTGGTTTTGTTCTTTATCTCTTACAAATATAACAAAGTTACATGGTAATAAGTTATGATAATCTTCTGTATAAAGCAGTTAACTTTTGAGCGACTTTAGTTTACTTACTACTGAATATTAAATAAGGGGGCAAAATACACCCTACTGGCAGTTCAATAAGCATTAAACAATCTATTTGCCATTCATGGTCCAAATAATGTATCAGACATGTCAAACTATCATGAAAATACAATATATTTTTCAGTCAGCAACAGAAATCCATGTTTCCTTTTGCACCAATTCAGGCTCCTTACATAATGTATACACATGGTAAAAACTTAATGTAGATGTTAAATTGAGACAGCCGTGGATTTTTATTCTATACATATATGTTTTAAAAACTGCATACAACTTCGAATTCATTCAATTTTATTTTTTGATACTTCAAGCATGTGAAATGCACCTCTATATTGGGTTTGGGTGTTTTTCAATTTGGATTTATTTTGCATCATCAAACATCACATTTATATCATTGAAATAAAGAATGAAAATACTGTGTCTGCTGAACTGCTTAGAAAAAAATGAAATGGAGTGTGCCACTGCACAAATACCCAAATCTTAATGCCACTAGAAATGCTAGTATCTCAAAAAAATCTGCATATTGCCAAGGTTCTTTTTGAGTACCTTGAGACTCGGATTATGTCTTTAATCGTTTCATGACTTTATACTTGATTATACCATTGATTGTGTTCAATCAAAGGAAATTTGATTCAACTCATAGATACAGAACAGGTATATAAGATAGACAGGATTTAAAAAATTGGGGACTTACAGAGTGGAGTTAGACGGAGGAGAGAAATAGAGGTATGTGAAAACTTCGTTTTGTTATATTCCATCTCTCATGCCTCAGTGGCAGGACATTTTTTATTCTGAACCTGGGTAAGGAGTAACACCGAACGCTACAATATTACACAATTTTGTGCCCATCACCAGGCTCACACCGGCATGAAAAGCATGTAAATTTTGACATAACAAATATATTACGCTCTAACTCACAAAAATGTAAAAAATCATATTCATCGAAAATTTGAAACTAATCAATTGAAAGTTAATTTTATATCATAAGCTGAAAAAATTACCTGTAGATCTTGAAATATTTTGGAACCCTTCGTCAGCGTGTTTCGCATCCACGCCATTTTTAAAATAACCTTGACCTTTCAGAATCAAACGTGACACAATGCACTTTGCAATCTGATGCTCAACTATCGCAATGATTAAATCTGTAAGAGGACGTGCAGAATGACGCGATTTCAGCTGCCTAAAACCAGTCGTAAAACTCCTTATTATTAATTTCTGACAAAAATCAGAAAAGAAAAAAACTAGTAACATATTAAATACACTTTATTTATCAACAGCGCAGATAAGTAAAAAGAGAATAATTCCCGTTTTCTTAATAGGCCGTTGTGACGCAACTGAGGGTCCGTGTAACAAAACATCCACCCTCCATTTAATTATACAGGTAAGGGTTAGCCTGACGTTAGTGGGTCAAAATCTAGGGTGAGGCTTACATGCGTAAATTAATAAGAACCAGACTCTCTATCATGAGAGAATTCTCTGTCCCGTCACACCGGCTGACGTCTCCTACAGGGAGAGACGTAGTCAGCTCGGCTAAAATTTTAGTCCAGGATTACATTAAAATTCCTCTCTGAAACAAGACTCAATGAGTAACATATAGGCCTACAGGCCTAAAGTAATAGTATTAAAATACGTTTCAAAAAGCAAGTCTCTCGGCACTATTATTTCACCCAATGTCTGTAATCTACAAAGCCAAGTTTACTGCAAAGGGAACTAGCATAGCCTATTTGTGGCTCAGGGTGACTTGTGGATGTTTATTGAAAGATTTAAGTAGGCCTTCTTGATTCAAATAGTAATTACCATCTCCAAATCACTTGGCGCGAAGTAAAATTTTCTTTTCTAAAAGGTTGAGAAAAATCGATACAAAGCGCAAGAAGCTGCATGGCTTTAAATTATAATCTGGTCTGAAAATAGTTGTTTTTGATTCTTTAAACGGCAGTAGGCCTACTGTACATGTTAAAGTAATAATTTTCTTCTCACATAGACATTTTTTAAATGTAAACGAAACGTTTGAAGTCAATCACAATCAATCACAATAGGCTTAGACCGCATTCACAACAAATTGAGCCAGGCCTTACAAATCCTGGGGACTAAATATGGCGGACGTACATGAAAGGAAAACCGCCTAAACTTTAAATAGTCTCTCCGCCTCTCACACGCCTCCCCACGCGTCGTCCCTGCGGGGGTACAGTCATTATATCTTGGCACCGTTGGGACTACACACGGGGAGGCGTGTGAGAGGCGGAGAGACTATTAAAAGATTAGGCGGTTTTTCATTCATGTACGTCCGCCATATTTAGTCCCCAGGATTTGTAAAGCCTGGCTCAAGTCGTTGTGAATGCGGTTTTAGGCTATCTACTGGTTCTGCAAATGTCACGTCATAACATAAAACAAAACACAAATGGTATGAAACTGACACTTTTCATCAATAATGAAATACCATTCAAACATTTTACACCATTAAGTCAAAAGCACTGTTCTCAGCTCCGTCAAAGTTAAGATGAACTATTTCAAGAAGCTTGTTCTTCCAATTTCACCAGCAGACCATACAAAATGGTGCTTCCACGCTCTTTAGTTGACCACTCTATTTCCTGATTGTCAAATTTTGGGTCGATTGGCTTGGTTTCTCCGATAGTTTGATCGCCGACATCATAGCTGCCTGGGCGAATGCACACTTGAAGTGCCACACGAGCCACGTAGGTTTTTTCTGATACCTCAAATCTGAAATATTGGGAAAAGTGCATGATTTATCTGTTATGAGGAAAACGACATCATACATTAAAAAAAGGTTAAAATATCATTCAGAATATTAAATCATGTTTGTTTTAACCCATTAAAATTAAAATATCGGGCTGCGTTATGACGTAATTTAAGTGAGCGATGCATCGCGACGTCATAATACTTATTGTGACGTCTTAGATACAAAACAAATTTCAAGTTCTTGACACCTCACAGGTGTTATATTTTTTCCGCAATGAATTTGTAATTTGTTTCGTCGTCACAATGGGGTGTATAAATTCAAGTAAGTAATCTAAGTAAACGATAATTCTTGACGCCTTTTAAGGAAAGTCAAGCTAAAATCTCACTTACCAAAGTGTTGTTTCGTTTGTTCTAACTGTTTTAGAATGATATCTTTGTGACAATTCATTGTATACTATACCATTTAAAATGTATCAAGTGTGGCGAATGTCTTTGTGTAACCTTTTTAAATCCCAAAGTTAACGAAGAATCACGTGTAACAATATTGTCTTTAATTGGTTATGTTGTAGAGACAGGAGTGATAGAGAGTAGTGGTCGCAAAAATGAAGCAAAGAATGGTAAGATTTAATTTCATGAGATTTAATTTGAAGCTGTGTACAGAAACACATTTCTATATATTCAAAACGTACTTCAATGTCTCCAATGTCTTCTTAGGCTACAGGATGGCCTTTAGTAATGCAAACTATATCTAATTTTGTTTACTTGTTTTTGTGTCTCTTAAGTTCACATGCGACTTTTATCACATTAATCATTTATTTAGACTTGGTAAGTGAATAATAAATGTGAAAATAAAGGAAGAGACGATTGGGATTCTTCTGTAATTATTTTCAGAATCCCCATGTACAGGAGAAAAATCGGTAAAAGCGGCAATGGATCCTTCGCAAAATCAAAAGTATGGGTAAACGTATTACAATGTATGTTAATGTTCACGTGATATATATAGTATATATATAGTTTTATCGTTTATATGTCTTTTATCTTTGACTATATCTCGTATGGTATAATACTTGTAAGTTATCAAAATTGCTTTTTTTCATCTTGAAATATGGGACGTAATACTTTTTACATGTGATAGTTTATATCTAAGTCTACCAGGTTATTCATGAAATCATTACATATAGAATTGCAGGGAAGGCAGCACGGATTCAGCCCATTCCCAAAGAGCTGACACAACTGCCAGAAAAAGATCTCAATGACCTCGTGAATGGTTTTGTTGAGTCAGCAATAAACCGTATTCACTTGCGGTATGTACAAGTACATCATAAGACTTCAGACACATAAGAAGTGTCCTATATTGAACTGACTTTACTCATTTATCAAACAATTCGAATTTTACGCGCCGAAAAGCTTAAATCAATGTTGCATCCTGTAGTCTATATTTTTCCATACAAAATTTTGTCTGATAATGTAGTAATTTTTTAAAAAAAATCTTTGTATAAAAAGTAACACAAATAAAATCGTCACAGACAAAATCATCACTGCATTTACACCAAATTTTGGATAATGTCCCTTGAGTCAGGCACTGGTAACTTAAAAAAGAATTAAAGAATAGTGCAGTTCCCGGATGCGTCGACCTTGGAGGCGGGTATACGTCGTAGTTTGTGCGTTTATAATTAGCAAATTTATATCCAAGGTTATTAAATGTTTTACAAATATATATTTTTATTCCACCCTTAGCTTGAGCACCGAAAACGCGGTCATCGACCAAACATCTACTCCAAAGGTCACCGTCGAGTAAAGGTCATGGTATTCAGTTCTGGAGGAGGCCAGTGTTGGAATGATGTGATAATGGATAACAAAATTTTTATGTTGTCATGTAGCTTTACATCGATTTTCTAAAAAATGCAGAATGATGAAAATTTATTTGTCTCAATTACTGCTCTCTTGCGTCAAACTTGATGTAATTTAATAAATCATTAGAAATCTATGTTGATGTTTACCACTTCACTAAACTGACAACTTCTGCTTTATAAGAATGAAACTAATAACAATGATTTTTATTATCAATATAATGATTATACTTATCATTAGAAAAATACTATACTGACAGCAGGGTTCTTCTGAAACAAACATTTACACACACACACACACACACACACACACACACACTGCTTACTTTTCATAAAAACCACACGGATACAACACACGGATACATACTTGTGTGGCATGGCATAAGCGCCATGGCCAGCATAACGGATACTAGGAGATACAAATATTTTCTTGGTGTCGAACCCTTCAGGTTTATAGTCGTCTTTGAAATGGCCTTCCCTCTCGCTTATTTTGTCGCCGCCCAACGCTACGTCGCCTACAATCCAAGTTAATGAATACATGAAAAATAAATGTTGATAACTTTTATATGTCTCTAATATGGCATCTCCAAAAAAAAAGTTTAATAAAAAATAATACAAAAAATACACGAGTTCGAGATCTCGTACGGACCAACAAAAATTTAAAACAAAAGTCCTGCGTGTAAACTTTAATAAGTGGATGAATGAAGTGAAGTTGACATATATTAGACCCTGACAAAAGTATCGCACAATTCGAGGGTTAGATTATATCGCAATACAAGTGCCTGTCCCGTGACGCCATAAGACAATCGGTTCCCTAACCTGGAATGAGCAGTTCCCCGACTTCAAGTATCTTGGTGACCACATCTTTCTTAGTGCCATGGAACGCCCTGTGCCATTTGTCCAATACGTTCATAGCTTTTGCTTTAGGTGGAAGGCTGGTACCACATTAAAAAAAAAAACTCATACATGCACCTTGATACAGTAAAAAATAACTACGAATAGTCACAAGAATATCCCACAGTAGCATTGCATAACAAAACAAAAAGCAAAAAAGTTTTGCGAGTTCACAATATACATGAATAAAAATATTTTACACAGTATTTTAAGTTTTGCGTCCGGCTGTAACACACGGAGGTGTTGAAGACATAAAAATCATTCAAATTACTAAGTTACCAAACCCGGTTTGCCGTTGTCATACTCACCAAAGGGCATACCTGTACCATCCAATTGGAATACCGTAGTCCTTTGGTGGATTTCCGCGAGTATAATACAGTTTATCTCCTCTGTCATTATGACACACGTTGCAGTAGCAGCGATGATACTTAGCATCAAAAAATGTCTCTGTAAAATTCCAAGGCATGCAAATGTATGTAGATAACCGAAAACATTTGAGTGCATCGTGTACTCGCTTTACTCCCGTATTAAAAACATAGTAAAAAAAGTTTAGAATAGGCGAATAGAATCTTTAAAAATATTATTAAAAAATGAATTTGAAAATACTTTTCAAGTTAATGAGAACTTACTATGTATGTTGAGTGTCGCAACAAATTTGTTGCAGATATCTTTGTAAGTGCACTTTGGTTTGGGTGTAGGATCTGGAAAGGTAATAAACTTTAAACACTATAGCTTGTCTAAATGCAATTACGTTCACTCATGTTTACCAACAATTCACTGCTCATGGTTTATC